TAATTGGTGTCCCTCTATTGGCCATTACAGTCCCAGTCCCTCTATGTTGTACTGCCTCTAATGAATTGGTACAGTCCCCTATGTTGTAATTGCCATTGTAATTGTACTGCCATTGTAATTGTACTTGCTAATGTAATTGGGTACAGTCCCTCTATGTTGTACATTGTTATTGTACTGCTAATGAATTGGTACAGTCCCTCTATGTTGTACTGCCATTGTAATTGTACTGCTAATGAATTGGTACAGTCCCTCTATGTTGTACTGCCATTGTAATTGTAACTGCTAATGAATTGGTACAGTCCCTCTATGTTGTACTGCCATTGTAATTGTACTCTAATGAATTGGTACAGTCCCTCTATGCTGTACTGCCATTGTAATTGTGAATTGTAGTCCCTCTATGCTGTACTGTCATTGTAATTGTACTAATGAATTGGTACAGTCCCCCTATACAGTCCCTCTATGCTGTACTGCCATTGTAATTGTACTGCTAATGAATTGGTACAGTCCCTCTATGTTGTACTGCCATTGTAATTGTACTGCTAATGAATTGGTACAGTCCCTCTATGTTGTACTGCCATTGTAATTGTACTGCTAATGAATTGGTACAGTCCCTCTATGTTGTACTGCTCATTGTACAGTCCCTCTATGTTGTACTGCCATTGTAATTGTACTGCTAATGAATTGGTACAGTCCCTCTATGCTGTACTGTCATTGTAATTGTACTACTAATGAATTGGTACAGTCCCTCTATGTTGTACTGCCATTGTAATTGTACTGCTAATGAATTGGTACAGTCCCTCTATGCTGTACTGCCATTGTAATTGTACTACTAATGAATTGGTACAGTCCCCTCCCTCATTGTAATTGTAATTGTACTGCTAATGAATTGTACTCCCTCTATGTTGTACTGCCATTGTAATTGTACTGCTAATGAATTGGTACAGTCCCTCTATGCTGTACTGCCATTGTAATTGTACTACTAATGAATTGGTACAGTCCCTCTATGCTGTCTATTGTAATTGTACCTGCTGTACTGTAATTGTAATTGTCCCCATGAATTGGTACCAGCCATTGTTGTAATTGTAAATAATGAATTGGTACAGTCCCTCTATGTTGTACTGCCATTGTAATTGTACTGCTAATGAATTGGTACAGTCCCTCTATGTTGTACTGCCATTGTGTATTGTATTGGTACAGTCCCCCATGCTGTACTGCCTGCTAATGAATTGGTACAGTCCCTCTATGCTGTACTGCCATTTGTAATTGTACTGCTAATGAATTGGTACTAGTCCCTCTATTGGTACAGTCCCTCTATGTACTGCCATTGTAATTGTACTCACTAATGAATTGGTACAGTCCCTCTATGTTGTGCCTGCCATTGTAATTGTACTGCTAATGAATTGGTACAGTCCCCTCTATGTTGTACTGCCATTGTAATTGTACTGCTAATGAATTGGTACAGTCCCTCTATGCTGTACTGCCATTGTAATTGTACTGCTAATGAATTGGTACAGTCCCTCTATGTTGTACTCCCCATTGTAATTGTACTGCTAATGAATTGGTACAGTCCCTCAGTCCCTCTATGTTGTACTGCCATTGTAATTGTACTGCTAATGAATTGGTACAGTCCCTCTATGTTGTACTGCCATTGTAATTGTACTACTAATGAATTGGTACAGTCCCTCTATGTTGTACTGCCATTGTAATTGTACTGCTAATGAATTGGTACAGTCCCTCTATGCTGTACTGCCATTGTAATTGTACTGCTAATGAATTGGTACAGTCCCTCTATGTTGTACTGCCATTGTAATTGTACTGCTAATGAATTGGTACAGTCCCTCTATGCTGTACTGCCATTGTAATTGTACTACTAATGAATTGGTACAGTCCCTCTATGTTGTACTGCCATTGTAATTGTACTGCTAATGAATTGGTACAGTCCATCTGTAATTGCCATTGTAATTGTACTGTAATGAATTTGTGCTGTTGCTAATTGTACTGCTAATGAATTGGTACAGTCCCTCCTCCCTGCCATTTGTAATTGTATGCTAATGAATTGGTACAGTCCCTCTATGCTGCTGCCATTGTAATTGTACTGCTAATGAATTGGTACAGTACCCCTCTGCCATGTTGTACTAATGAATTGGTACAGTTATGTTGTACATTGTAATTGCTAATGAATTGGTACATTCCCTCTATGCTGTACTGCCATTGTAATTGTACTGCTAATGAATTGGTACAGTCCCTCTATGCTGTACTGCCATTGTAATTGTACTGCTAATGAATTGGTACAGTCCCTCTATGTTGTACTGCCATTGTAATTGTACTGCTAATGAATTGGTACAGTCCCTCTATGCTGTACTGCCATTGTAATTGTATTGATTTGTAAGCATAGCTAATTTTAAAATACAATTGTCCAGTATTTCTTGGTTGGTTTCACGCCGAATTCCTTCATCTATATATTCCTAGATAACTTCTCGTTTGAAGCTTGGAAGCACCACGTAACGGGATGCATACTTACAAAGAGACATTCCCTGTAGAGCATGCTGGGTCTTGTGCCCTTGGCACTGCCATAATATCACCCGCTTTGAAGACAACCACGTGCAGATGTTTGCCAACTCAAGAGAAAGGAGGCCTTACAGCCCTGTATTATCTCACTTATCGTTGGTTAAGTTCTGGGTCTGATTATACGTACTATTTCGCCTCCAACCAAATCCGGGCGGCCAAGCGTCCAGCCATATATCACAACATATTACAAAGAAATACTATTCGTTTAATCAATTAACATCAAACAACCAAAGACTGAGGTCGAAGGGACCAACGTAATGCTTCGAGGTATCCGAAGTTCGTCACTCATAGAGAAAGAAAGAATAAGGAGGTATCAAGCTGTTTCGTCGAAACAGTCGTCACTTCGACAAACCTAAGTTCGATACAACGTTCAGGATGCCGTTGTACAAAGCGATCTTAGCGCTAAGGTGACCGTATCTCCCATACCTTAACATAGACTTAAGGTAGTCTTAGAGCTAAGGTGACCGTATCTCCCATACCTTAACATAGACTTAAGGTAGTCTTAGCGCTGAGGTGACCGTAACCCCCATACCTTAACATAGACTTAAGGTAGTCTTAGCGCTAAGGTGACCGTAACCCCCATACCTTAACATAGACTTAAGGTAGTCTTAGCGCTAAGGTTGTTTTGTACAACGGCACCCTGGGCAGGAGCTGTCTCGTTTATCCATACAGGTGACCTATGGGAAAGGGAGTCACTTTACTTTGAGTCGTCTCTATAATATCCCAGCAACTGTTTTACAGATCGATCTACGTCACAGTATCTCGTGTACCTGTAAGATGTGTTATCCTGAACTAGCTGCTGACCCGTGTTAAAACAGCAGAGGTATGCCCTGGTGATATCCGCATATTCCCCGTCGTTATGGCTGGGACGATCAGACGTGGGACTGACTTGTAAAGTCCGTTAAAATTACACATACCGCCTCTTTATGACAAATCAATGTTTTTCTCATTACGACGCAATCATTTGATTGGAATATCACGACTATAATAAACACAGAATATTGCACTGGACTCGAACATCAAGGCCCCTTAATCGATAGCAAATAAAACAACGTGATTTTGGCTTGTTCCGGGGCTGACGTCCTCTGCTCTGCTCTCCCGCACTAAGGAAAACAGCTTGATATTTTTTATGAAAAAACACACAATTCCTCGGATCTTGATGTAGGTTTAATTGGATCGTGGTTATTTTCTTTGTTCTATTTCTGTAGCTTTGCTTATAATTGTTTCTCGGAGTCGAGTATTTCCAAGACAATCTGGTGAAACAATTAAGGATGTTACAGTTATATGGCAAGTGAAAAAGAATTATTACCATTTTGTTTCCAATATCAATTGTCCAAGATACATAAAGTCTTTTTCAAACTAAAATAAAATAATAAAATTCGTATTAAGCATTCAAATGTCCATCTGAAAGTGATTAAATCAGAAGCTCCGCATTTGCTTCCAAAACAAACCTGTTTGGGGTAGTGGCCTAACGTAAAGGCCTGCTACACGTGCACGAGTTACCGAGTTACGGACACATATATATAAAATAAAAGTTCAAATATTACATGACATGTAACCAGTATGCATGATATATAGATAACATATATAAAATATTCAAAACATGGAACCATAAAAATTTGAAAAATAACATAATGAGCCTTATTGAACGTGTTATTGAGCGCAGCTGCAGAATTTGATACCCACATTGCATAATGAATATAGCCTACACTAGTCAACAGGAGATGAAGCCTACATTTTAGTTTCATACGACTCATGGTATAAAAGCTATATTCTTACGTCCTCGCGATTTCAAGATATAAGAAAATGCACCTTAATGCTGTCTATTAGTAAAGATAGATTTGTGGTGTCTATTATCACAGACAAATTTAAGGAGGTTAAAATTCGCAATAGAAAGCGAAAAATAAAAACAGAAACAAATTAAGAAAGATGTGTGAAATGTCAGGCGGTAAGTATAGGTGAACATGAATCTTGCTCAACACCGAAATCAGCCATCTATCTCATTGAAATTAGATCTGACACTCCCATTCGATACCTCTTCCATCAGAGGTATCAAATCAGCAATTTAATAGCTGTGTAATTGATTACACTGTACCGTATCCAGACTATAATAGTTCCATCCTACTATCATAAATGCCCGGAAATCGTCTGCAGCAATAGTTTCGTCTCGGTCTCCGTCTCAATCTCCATCGCTCCTGTTTCTAATTTGACAATGATTGTATCGCGTTTGTGAAAGTAATTTGATTGAAAGGCTATTTCTAGGGTCGTCCTGGTAGAATAAGGCTCATATTGAAGGTATCATGCCTATGGAAGGGAACTGGCTCTATCATAAAAGTGGAGATGTGATATACTGGATAACAAAGGATGTAGCTCCACACACCTATATCAGACACAGCCCCGTGTGGAGTTAGACATTGCGCGCGGAAGTAAAATGTAAATTACCATGTAATCATTCACGCCTCGGTTGGATGACGCCGTTAGACCTTGTTGTTGAAGATTGGCCACTCTAATGTAAAATACCGGTATGTGTTAATAACACTGTCAGGTAATGTTGTTTGTTTGTAATTGAGCTGATTTTATTTGCTCTTAGTAGTGGTATAGACTGGAATACATATCAAAGCCTCGGCTTAAGTTAAACTTGTACTCTTCATGCACTCACACGCACACGCACATGCACACGTCTAGTATTTTACCGACAAACAGTTATCAGCTTGAAATGATCTGCACTCCCTTAAGGTTTGGCGTACTTTCAACTGGTCAGTTAACATTGAGGGAAATGCGTCCGTCTGTCACCTACTTTACTATTGGCGATCATACATCGGTGACTTATATAACAGCTGTGCAAAATAGTTTCCACATTTTGCTAGCCAGTTGGGCTAGCTATGCCTGAAAGTTACTAGCCCACAAAATAATTCACTAGCCCGAAATCTGAATGAAGAAACTAAGCCAAAGATTAATAAAAAAAAATACCATAAAAAAACAAATAAGAAAAGAAAGAATATTGTGTTTATGCTCAAATAACTTAGATAAGTCATACAGGAATCATAATACAGTCCTGCAGACAAAATGACCCCATGAAAATTCACTAGCCAGTCGGGCCAGTGACTGTGGAGATTTACTGGCCCGACTGGACTTTTCTAGCCACAGGCTAGCGGGCCACTGGCTATTTCGCACACTGTTAACATATATCAACAATCTGTGTGTAATACATTGAGTACGACATTTCAGTCTTACATAAATTGCAAAATGGCAAATGCACCCGCCAACTTTAGATTTGTTACTAATTCCAGCGGTGGGCGTAGGGCCAATGGTTACTTTAGATCGAACTATTTACAGGATTCAATTGGCTCTGAGAACTGTCAACAATCACTGCGAGTGGTCCGATACAGATAATTCATAAAATCAGAACGCTGTTCACGATCACCAGACAACATTCTTCCAAAAAGTCACAGGTTGGGTCAAACTCAGACACAAGAGGAGAAAGTTTCGCCTGCTGTGCCAGAAAATTACGGACACTGGAGGATGGCGCCACACGTCTTCGATATGGTCTTAATTTCCCGTGCTGGCTGGGCTGTAATGTTAAATCTGAAACCTGTAACATTTCTGAGATGTTCAGTTATAAACTTGTGGTGAACTTATCTTGGATATTTCATTTTTTGGCCATGATTTTACCATTAACGCTTCATATATCTTTAGTGATTAATGTGCATTGTTTTATTATTCGTCTCGGTTTGGTGATAAAAGTTGAGAAAATTCCCTGGCACATTATAAACATTTTATCGAGAAAAATACAGGCTTGGTATGAATGTCGGATCATGTCGTTTGTGGATCGGTTGATTTGTTACACAGATTCATACACAGACACATATGAGGCTTATGGACAATGAGGCTTATGGACAAAGGGAGGTAACTCTGTCGGGCAAACACTCCTAACCGCTCAACTCCCATTCCAGGTCGTGCCGCTGTGTTGAGCTCCACTTACCGGCCGTCACTGTAAGGAGCTAGAGGCTCTTCAACAACTAGGCGTCTTCTGGTGATAGTTATTCTTGCAAACTCCCATTTCCATTGTGCTCTAGTCTATCCAAATCCGATGGCGCATTTTCAATTATCTGTAAACTGTACATTTCACACAAATGAACCACAATCGATACTTGGTTAATTCATTTTATAATGACTTATTCTTCACCTCAATGCTCAGTAGACGAGGTGGCCGAGTGGTTAAGGCGATGGACTGCTAATCCATTGGGGTCTCCCCGCGTGGGTTCGAATCCCATCCTCGTCGAAATATTTTGTACGTTTATATAAACTTTAATTACGAAATATGAACGGGAAATCGCGTTTAAATTGATATCAGACCTTCAAAATACAAAATTTAGCATGGAAAGTCACTATTGAAAAACACTGTGGAACTTGACAACATGGGTTGTTGTCAAGAGAGTTCAAATGTGATTTGACATTGGCTGTTAGCAAAGAAACATTTTCAAAAATATAATCTTTTCTCACTGACCAACAGCAGATGTAGACACTTTCAATCAACACAGTTAATGAATTTACTGAGGTGTGGATACAAAGAAAGTGAATAACCTCTGCCAGACGCTGACAACTAATATTTGGTTTCAAGATTGTGTGTTTTATTAAATCAAAACAACTGAGTTGTAAAACTGGGGAAGTGAAAATATGTTTCCCCTTATCCAGAAAGTATACCACACATATGAGTTGGGCTTTACAGCAAAAAACATATTTCAATTTATATCACAACGAATCGGCCACAATTGAGGACATGCCTTTGACCAAAGTCATTATTTCAGTTACAGCATGTCAGTCTTTTGTATAGGGAGGGATGCAAGACATTTACCAATTTGATGAAGCCCAAGTGTTTGCTGAGTCACCAAGAACCATTCACAATGGAATTCAGGGACTAGATGTTGTGCTGTACACAACTATAAACAACTCTGCTTTTGATGAAGATTATGAGATAAATCAGATGTGCTTGAATAGACTCCTAACTTATTCTGTGAATCTGTTTTGTGTACCATGAACAAATAACATATATGCCCAACAGTATTAATGGTTGGAGTGCTTCTGTGTAAACAAGTGGCCCATTAGATTTTAATCATTTTGTTTTACATGTATTGGGAAAGTTCAGATTGGATTGGTCAGAAGTAGCATATGTTTGTTATAACAGGCAAACATAATGGATTTGGGTGTCAGACTCTTACACCTGGTTGATACTTAGAAACATGTTTGTTTGGGAGATTGCAAAGGTGAATTACTGAGTTGAAAGGTCCAGTGTGACTATTTACCAACTGCCATGTCACTGGCAAATTGGCATTCCTGTAAGTGGCAGTAAGCAGCAGTGATTCATTCACTCGCTGACTCTTGCAATACTACTCAACCACATGTTTATGTACAATCATACATTTCCATGTACAGCAGGTATGTAGCAATAACAACAATGTATACTCATGTATACTCAATCTTGTATTTCAGTACTTCACCCAAATTAATGAAACCATGTAATGTAAGCCATTCTTCAGCCTCTTAATATATGTTGTTTGTTGTTTCATGACGTACTGCGCATCTATATGACTGCAGTCTGTAAATAATCAAGTCTGGTCCACACAATCCAGTGATTGACAACAAGCATCAATCCACACAATTGTGTCAACCAGTTATGAATGCATCAATGCTAATGTAAATCATTGAGGATTTTCAGCTAGGCATAAACTGCTGTACCCGTTTCAGTCAAATGGACAGCTTTCCATACTGCCATTCTATTGTAACCGAAGTTCTACCTTCAAAGCCAACCATCAACAGGCGAGAGTTAATTTTATCGGAACTTAGCGCTATGAGTATACATATTTCTGCCTGTAAAAGAAGATTCATGATAGTTGACTGATAAATGTGTTCAGTTCTGTGTTGCTGCAAGTTGTTTCTGTCCTCCTAGCTAATAACGAGGTCCCACTTGCACCAACCGATCTCAGCACTTTGATAAACCCATACTCTAACATAGCCTTAAATAGACGGCCATAGCACTAAGATCACTGTGCATACCCATATTGGCGTTAACATGAAACACAACTCTTTTACCCATGACTAGACTTTATTACATCTAGTTGTCATTTGTTTATTTCAATTAAATAGATGAACAGTAAAATAATCTTATTTCAGCGTTTTCAAACATCAACAAGTAAAACAATCTGTTCTGAAATAGAAACCTATCCATGACATGATACCAATATGTAATCACTTTATATAAGTAGTTGTCTCCATACCCACTAAGTATCCCCAAAATACAGAAGTTACCACACAATGATTACACATAAATATACACTGTTCAAACCACAGTCAGGACTTGTACACTGTTTCACATATTTCTAGCTGTAATGTACTGGCAGAGAATAATGAAGCCCCAAGGGATCATTCGTTTATTATCATGGGTGGTTTGTTAGAGCACATCAGGGAAGGGTCACCTCAAAACATGACAATATCTAAGGAAGGGTAAAAACTTCATATCTCATGAGGGTCATGAAATAACTAAAAATATCAAGTGCATTTTCATTTTGTCTTCTCAGAGGATCATGAAAAACATCTACAAGGATATGGGGAAGGTGAAAAATATGACCAGCAAGAATGTCAAAATTCCAATGTTAAAATACGCAATGGCAAGTATCATTAAATTCTTAGGACAGCTGGTGAGTCATACAGAGTAATTAGACCACTGACACGTGTGTGTACTACAGTAAGTCAAGTGGTGGTGGTACATGTATTACATGGCATAAAGACAGCCAGTTAGGAAAGCCGCCTCTATTCCAAGGGAGACAATTCATCACTTCATCTGATTTATCTGTAGTATGTGACAGAAGCATTGATACATAGGGACAGGGTATTGAATGTGTAAAGTCTAAAAATGACTTGATGAGCTAACATAAGCCAAAGTCATATAGTTTCTACATCAGTATACAGGGCTTGATTTAAGTATTTAGAACTTGCACTGGTGCAAACTGAAACTACAAAATGCAACCTCATATTTATACCAACTTGCATCCATAGCATGTTAATATTTTGTTGTTCAAAGAACACAGACTTCAGATAGAAATCAGAATGAAGAGGAACTGGCTTGGAATGACTGTTCATGTTATGACATTTTATGAAGTAAGATGAAAGGGTCTTTCAAACCCAGAACAATTTTGTCATAATGATGTTCTAAATCATCAATACCAAACCTCAAGCAATATATATAATTTTATGTTGAGTAGCAGGTGCAACCTGTTTTTGGTTGGTGCAACAAAGCTATTACCTAAGGTAGCACCAGGTGCAAGTAGGATTCAATTTCTAAATCAAGACCTGGTATGTTGAGTGGTCTGTGTACAAACCCCTACAACTGGCTTTTATATCGATACAAACACACAGAATCTAAAACCAACGTAGCATTGTAGTCAGCAATGGTTATTTCATTGAGGTCCACACATTCATTAAACCCTGACAGCACCACTATAAAGACATATTGTCAAACGAAAGATGGCGCTAGTTTCCAGAAAGGAGCAGCTTCATGAGTTGAATGTGAAGACCAGCTGATAATTCAACACTAAGGCAGGCTATAACCACAAGATTCATTGTTCTCAGCACCTGGGATGAAGCAAAAATAAGCCTACTGGCAAACAAGGATAAGTTGGACCGGTGCAGAGAACGCGTTTATGAGAAGTAGGTGGTGCACGGCAATGAGTAAACCCACGCCTTGCTCATAAAACATTCATGGTGTAGCACTACACTTGATCGCGGACAACTTGGGCCCCTTCAGCCCACAATGGCAAGCGCCAGTGGGCGGCACTCATACACGGTAATACAGGTCAATTGTCAGGTCGGTGCTCAACTTATCCTTGTTTTCCAGTAGTGTCCATTTCTGTCTTTCACACACACAAGAAATTTCAAATCCTGTTCCTAATGTGTCTTGCAAGTTACAATTCTTACTCTACTATACCAAAGTTGGATTGGTAAACCATTATCAGTCAGACATGTTAAACATTTAGGTTTAAGTCATATCACTTACACTCCTTATGATCCATTCATACACAAAACAGAAATGTTACATATTCCACAAAATGCCAAAACATTTTCATTACAATTAACACTGTCTGACAGCACAGTGTACTAAGGTCTAAACAAGGACTATATGACTTTATAATGGTCTGAGCTATATGTACCGGTAATAGCTGTTACACACAGTGAGACATACAAACTGGCAGGATATCATATCCCATCACAAGTACAATCAGGATATACACAGTCATTATCACATAACACGACACAAAATATATACTGGCTGGAGATGGTAAAAGTACACAAACTACCAGTGTCATACAATAAAAGAAACGAAGAAGGAAACAGTTAATTCAGGCACCCAATACAAAACCATAGCAATGAGTACTATTTAGCTGATATAATGGAAGACTATTAAATCATGTAGCACATATCTTTATATAGCAACATATATCAATTGTAATATCTTCCCTCAACAATCTTGTCACGGTCTTGACCATATGTCAATAAATATGGTCATAACAACCAGTAACAAATATAGGCTAACACTGTGTAACACTACACTGTACAGGAACAAGGTTCCTCTATTTGCTAAGTGAGTGAAAGGCACTTCTAGCTAGATCCCTGTCACTGGATACAGGTCAACCAGATTCAGAAAGGAAACAGCGATAGACATATGATATTTAAAGACAGTTGTTGAGTGCTTTTCATGAAAACTTCGGCTTCATAGAGGTCATCATAGAAGCATTTGAAGGTCCAACCCTCTAGTCAACTGACCATACCCATACAAATTTATTTGAAGTATTTATTTCTCTTGTTCATTTTGAATGGGTTCCGATTTTCACATTTTTCCTGCAACTTATTTTGATATGAATGTACTTAATCTGTTGATTGGTCACTGTATGTTTCAAAGACTGATTTCTTCAAATTCCCCAAGTGTAAGCCAAGAACGGTATGTGTGTCAGGTGCCCAATAGACACAGAAGTTCCAATATGTTATACTGTAAACATTGTGCAGCCTTCTATTCAGTATTGTGCAAGAAAACAGTTTAAACAAAATTAACCAAACACAGGAATCTAACTCGTCCGATTTACCCGCATTACTGTGAACCATATCTACTACTAGATGTGGCTTCAGTGGAATATTGAAATAATGTGCCATTAAACGAGTTGCCATGTATTTAAAAGAAATCTGCATAAAATATACGCAGTTATGACATACAATCTGTAGATTAAATAGTCTTACAAGCAACAAAGCAGTGCCCTTGTGCCTGTACTCATCTGGCAAGAATTGAATAAGATACCAGCAGAGCTAGCGGCAGTTACCAAAAAAACAAATGTCTTTGTATTATTGAAAATTTTAATATAAATTGTATTTATATGTACTTATCCTATCGCACCTCTCTCTCTCGTTTCGACATTTAGTGGAACGACTGTAAACTTTTTTCCATAGGCCTCCTTGTCCATTCGCCCATGCACTCCATGCTGCTCTCCTTAATTAGCTGCCTAGTTCCTAATGAAGCTTGCAGCATGCTCCACTAATTGCCCATGTGACTACCTTGAATGATCATTCAATTTCCTGTCGCAAGACTGTGTGGACGTGCTGTATATTAGGGACATTATTTCACCCTAACATCATGGGGAAAATAGATAATCAGTCAAGGAAAAGGAAAGATTGTGCTCAATTATACACCTTTCAGCAGATAAATTGAGTGAAGATACTGCCTCGACGAAACAGTTAATATGGAGACCAAATCAAGAGATACAACCCAGCATGGTCCTCGTGTAATTCTTTCACAGATGACATTGAATAATGTTACTACATACAAAAAGTTTAAAAAGAATACCTCAGGCCCAATATGCAGTTCAAACTAACATTAATGCACAAAGGGTGAACAAATTGCTTCATAACTAATATGTATGGTTTCCATGGAAACTAATCCAAACATATGATGGAAAACTAAACAGAGATAACTAAACTAAAACATCAAGTTTGCCATTATATTGCTCTTGTAGTCTTAGAGTAGAAACTCAAAATATGAAATGTGCGGAGGTGACAAAAGTAAATGACTGAAACTTTGAACAACAACAAAACACATATTTGAGGACCCACTGCAGGCTAATTTCTTCAATTTAAACAACTCAAAAAGTTTAAATAAAGACAATTTGTTCAATGTACAGAGGTCAACAAAGGCATCATTGATGCATTTTCAGTTCAGTTTCTTCCTTTATAAATAGAATTGAAAATGAAGGTGTATGGACAACATATTTACCATGACGTTAAAAAAGTATGTACAAGAGCCAAACAAGAAAAAGGTGTTTGATTTTAAAAGTTTAGTTTGAAAGTCCAACTCATAACGGCATTGCAAAGGATTTTCCCAACATCTAAAACACATACAAAACAAAAATATATATACATTCATACAATGAACATTCAAGTTCCTCACAAAATATTTACATGAGGTATGTTAGATAAAGCCTAGCAGGACAAGCCATCACATCTTCAGCACTAGGTAGGCAACACATTCAGGTTTCCAATAGAGAAACTGTGAATAACAATAAATGTAAATAAAATGAGGTTTTCTTTTGGCAGAAGTTGCAAACTGAAGCTGCCACATCTCCACTAGACATGCAGTCTGGTTTTGTGTCTCAGAGCGATCACAGCAGCACAGCTGTGGGTATTGCTGTGAAGATTGGTGTTTGACTGAGTCCCCAATACGGTAAACTCCATAACAGCTAATCAGAACCCATGTACCTGGTTGTTATGTACCAACATCGCTATTTAGGTCAGAGGACGTATTTCCTTGTTTTACACATTGAAATGTACTTGAAACAATAAAGTAATTCAATAAATATTTTCTTAGTTCCATCTATGTACTGTTCATATTCCACACTTACTGCTTTAGGTAAATTGTGAATCCCAAGTCAAGATGATGCAGCAGTGTGGCCCAAATAGCACCTTCTTGTCATCAGATTCACCTGGGTGGCAGCCATTTTGGGGCTGTATATCCTGAGCTAATACTAATGCCACTTGTACAGGCAAATCATCCAATATACAGTGAATTATATTTCCTCTCTACAGTAAATACCCTGGACACATATAAAAGCATAGCCTCATTCAGCCAATCAAATTCCTGTCCTCCAATACCCTCAGTACTTCATTTGCTTGGTTACCAGCAAATACTATCTCAAATGGAAACTGGAACACCCAGAATATAATTATTTCCCTCTACGTCAAAATACTCTGGAAAACAATTTGTCGCTTAAAAGTTCAACTCACATACAGAGGAATCATTTTGACTGACTGCTGATCTTAAGTTCAGGAAAGTGAAAAACTGTGCCTGCTGAGTGAAAAGAGAAGGACAGATTTTCATAAGCAAAGCTATGCATGGTGTTGAATCGATCCAGGGCATTTATTAATAAAACACAGACCAAACAGTGGCTACCAGAGGATGGTAGAGGCTCTAAGTAAGTACTGTCTATGGAAGAAGCTTGTAATGTTTGTAAGGCAATCTGACAATATACATGCAACAACAGCTACCTGTCCCTCATGACAGCAGGCATATCTAGACTGTTCAATCAGCACTATCACACAGGCACCAGGACATACAACACAGAACACATCATGACTGATTAATTCTGGCAACATGTCTCACAAATCACCTGCACATCATTCGGTTCAGAAACTGGCACTAATGGACATATGAATCCATGGGATTAGCAATTTGAAACGGTTTGTTTTGTCAGGTTGACATAAAATGTTAACAGAGTATATATATAGGAACTTATGTACTGGAATTATCTACATACAAACATACTGTCACAGCTCCATATGTAATAAGTACATGAAATATAACCTGAAATGCTGGTGAATAATAAATGCATAAAGATAGAGATGACTGATATCTGTTGTTTCAATGTATGGCAAGTCTATTTATGGTGTAACACAAAACACATTCTACATCTCTATACATATGTGTGATCCAGCTAACTATCCATACAACCATTGCATATGTACATATTGTCTTGTGATCATTCTAGAAGCTGATGTTGGTGATGCTGATATTGGAAGGTATCGGTCAGTGGGGCCTATCTGATTCATTTGTCTATACTTGACTCCAGTTTCCCTGGAGCCAAGGTGTCTGATGCGTCAGTCAGTAAACAAACAAATAATTACAAACACACACTCTTTTTATACATCTCAATGGCCATGAAGCTGTTTCGGCAAATTAAGGGCTGTTCTCATATACGTCAAGAAAGACGACTTTTCTCATCTGTCATAACAAAGTTGGCAATCATGTGCTATTCGATGGGCTTATTCTCGATGCACTTTCGTCATAAAAGCCTTGGACTACTGAAGCCACTGCTTGTATTGAGTGTTGTCAGAAACAGGTGAACCTTCTCCTTGTCAATGATGCTAAATGATGCACTATCACACATATGAACTAAACAGCACACATACAGCTATTGATTGTCTCTGTGGAATCCTCAATGAACATTCTGTCCATTTCATGAGTCTGTGGGATAAGTAGGAGGGAGTGAAGCAAGAACATTATTTATGTTGTCCTTCGTATGTTCCTGATGTTGAGTGATGGCAAGACATGGTGATGGGTAGCAGTATCTCTGTATTACTGGGCATCATCATCATAATAGTTCTCCTCCTCATCGTCTTGGTAGGCCTCCTCATCGCTGTCATCTTCATTTAGGTCAAGGTCAAGGACACTCTGTCCTTCAGCCTTCATGTCATCATCGATGTCATACACAACATCGTCGCCAAGGTCCTCACTGAAAGAAAAGTCAAATCTGTCAAAGTAAATCATGTCATATTTCACTATAGACTTTTTGTGTTATTATTAGGGATTCAAAGTAGAGAAACAATAAAAGTCCAGCCAAGTCATGGTCCTTCTGTAGTTTGTATATGAGTGGGAGTGGTGGGGTAGTCGAGTGGTTAAGGTGTTGGCTCGTCATGCCGACGACCTGGGTTCGATTCCCCACATGGTTGCAATGTATAAAGCCCATTTTTGGTCTCCCATCATGACATTGCTGGAATATTGCTAAAAGCAGCGGAAAACTAAAGGGCCGATTGATTCAGCCATTTTCCAGTCATATCACAACAGCCTGTAAATAGTCATGACTGGACTAATGTTCACCATAATTTCACAGTGTTGATTCATAAATGCAGTAAAATACTAATGAAAGCACCGGTACAGCCCTGATGAACAGGTCTCCCTGTGTAAGAAATGTGTCCTGCCTACCCTGCCATAGTTTCCTGGTTAGCTCCACCCATGCTGTGTTCCAGGTTAGGCATCTGTTCAAAGGTTGAGCTTGTCTTGAGGACCCTCACTAGGGACTCACAGAACTTGACCCCCATCTCCTCCAGCATCCTGGTGTTCATGTGCAGGTCCTGAAGCAGGACAACATCTTATAGTCTCCTGTGTACGTGTCAGGGTCTTACTTCAAGGCATAGCACTTCACAAAAAGTTTACATGCATGGCTTCTAATACTTTAAATGTATATCTGTCACCACACCACAACGCAATCAGTTCTTTTGACTACAGCCAAGGGCTAAGTGTTATCACACCACACTTACCCCAGTAACTGCTCTCTATTGTATACCGGCATACCAAATCATCATACTGGCAGTTGTCTCCCCTTCCTACACTCTCGGTATAACCAGACTCACCTTGTACCTGCCCTGATCACAGCCACAGTAACTGCTCTCCATTGTATAGCTGCGCACCACACCTATCTGCCGCCACACCACAACACGAGCAGTTGTTTCCTTGGCCCTCTCTACCACAAAGCTACAGTTTTGTATGGAGAAGGACTGGCAAGCGGAGTGCAAAATACGAGGCAAAGCCTGAAATGGAAAAACATTTGACATCACCAGCCTTTACATGGAGAATGGGACAAATATGTTTGGAAAATTAGGTCATTTCTCAGGGCTAACCAATTCAACTCCATATAAATGTTACAAATCTTCACAAAATGAAATTAATACCTAACAAAACTGAGCATCAAACTAAGGGGTCCATGTTAAAGCATTAATTTTCAAAGGACAAGTTTTGGTGGATCCTTAGATTCCATATGATATTTGTAAATCTAAAAGTTCCCAGGGTCTAATAAAATATCGAACAATGTATATCAGATCCAAGGAAGGTACGACAAAGCAAACCACCTATACTGTTCACTTAAGCTTAGACCTATTGATATATTATCAATAGTTCCATCAAGTAATTGTTGTGAACCAGTAAGCAATTATGGCTGAAATCAACTGTCAAATATTGATGCCAGATTTTGCATTGATATATAATGCCCACACAATATACAAGCATATTAAAATTTGATAATATCCTGATGACATGAGAAAATAAAAGCCTTGAAATATATATGCAGGTTTCTCTTGCCATGATCTTTGTGCGTCAATAAGTCCATATGACATGGACCATCAACCCTTGGTGTTCCCAGACTTCAGATTCCACCTTGATAGGTATGTTAACTCTGTAACTCTCCATGATCTTACATGTCCATATAACATGGACCACTGCTCGCACTATCAACCCTTGGTGTTCCCAGACTTCAGATTCCACCTTGACAGGTACATTAACTCTGTCTTTGTCTCCATGATCTGCCTACCCTGAAGCCATTGTCTTCACTCTTGTTGCCACTTGAGGCAGGGTTCTGGGCATCACTCGGTATCCAGGACATGGAGGGGCTACAGCCGTACAGGAAGATGTTCTTCCGCCGAGAGTGTCCATGGTAGTCGTAATATACCTACATTGTAAACAAGAGATGCCATGGTAGCCTCAGTGTACCTTCACAGATAACAACAGTATCCATGGTATAATCAGAAGAACAGCAACCCAATCCAATCAGCCACAGCGGCCTCCACCAAAATGGTCTGACAACTGGTAATCTACATCACATACTTTGGGTATCTTTCTGATGAGTGGAAATTGGCATGATCCCCTGGCCGAAAGATTTGAATACACAAAGCCATTCAGAAAGTGGTGAAACAGTGGCCATTTTAGTCATAGAATACCTACACAGATAATAAGCATGCCCACTGTAGTAACGGATTAACTACTGAGGCAACAGTATCCACAGCAGTCACACAATACCTTCACAGATAACAGTGTCCACAGCAGTCACACAATACCTTCACAGATAACAGTATCCACAGCAGTCACACAATACCTTCACAGATAACAGTGTCCACAGCAGTCACACAATACCTTCACAGATAACAGTATCCACAGCAGTCACACAATACCTACACAGATAACAGTATCCACAGCAGTCACACAATACCTTCACAGAAAACAGTGTCCACAGCAGTCACACAATACCTTCACAGATAACAGTGTCCACAGCAGTCACACATTACCTTCACAGACAACAGTGTCCACAGCAGTCACACAATACCTTCACAGACAACAGTGTCCACAGCAGTCACACAATACCTTCACAGATAACAGTGTCCACAGCAGTCACACAATACCTTCACAGACAACAGTATCCACAGCAGTCACACAATACCTTCACAGATAACAGTGTCCACAATACCTTCACAGACAACAGTGTCCACAGCAGTCACACAAGACCTTCACAGATAACAGTGTCCACAGCAGTCACACAATACCTTCACAGACAACAGTGTCCACAGCAGTCACACAATACCTTCACAGACAACAGTGTCCACAGCAGTCACACAATACCTTCACAGATAACAGTATCCACAGCAGTCACACAATACCTTCACAGACAACAGTGTCCACAGCAGTCACACAATACCTTCACAGATAACAGTGTCCACAGCAGTCACACAATACCTTCACAGACAACAGTGTCCACAGAAGTCACACAATACCTTCACAGACAACAGTGTCCACAGCAGTCACACAAGACCTTCACAGATAACAGTGTCCACAGCAGCCACACAAGACCTTCACAGATAACAGTGTCCACAGCAGTCACACAATACCTTCACAGATAACAGTGTCCACAATACCTTCACAGACAACAGTGTCCACATCAGTCACACAAGACCTTCACAGACAACAGTGTCCACAGCAGTCACACAAGACCTTCACAGATAACAGTGTCCACAGCAGTCACACAATACCTTCACAGACAACAGTGTCCACAGCAGTCACACAAGACCTTCACAGACAACAGTGTCCACAGCAGTCACACAAGACCTTCACAGATAACAGTGTCCACAGCAGTCACACAAGACCTTCACAGACAACAGTGTCCAAAGCAGTCACACAAGACCTTCACAGACAACAGTGTCCACAGCAGTCACACAATACCTTCACAGATAACAGTGTCCACAGCAGTCACATAAGACCTTCACAGATAACAGTGTCCACAGCAGTCACATAAGACCTTCACAGACAACAGTGTCCACATCAGTCACACAAGACCTTCACAGACAACAGTGTCCACAGCAGTCACACAAGACCTTCACAGATAACAGTATCCACAGCAGTCACACAATACCTTCACAGATAACAGTGTCCACAAGACCTTCACAGACAACAGTGTCCACATCAGTCACACAAGACCTTCACAGATAACAGTGTCCACAGCAGTCACACAAGACCTTCACAGACAACAGTGTCCACAGCAGTCACACAATACCTTCACAGACAACAGTGTCCACAGCAGTCACACAATACCTTCACAGATAACAGTGTCCACAGCAGTCACACAAGACCTTCACAGACAACAGTGCCCACAGCAGTCACACAATACTTTCACAGACACAGCAGACCTTCACAGATAACAATACCAGTCACACAAGACCTTTCACAGACAACAGTGTCCACAGCAGACCTTCACAGACAACGAAGTGTCCACACAGTGTCCACAGCAGCTCACACAAGACCTTCACAGACAACAGTGCCCACAGCAGGACTTCACACAATACCTAAAGACAACAGTGTCCACAGCAGTCACACAATACCTTCACAGATAACAGTGTCCACAATACCTTCACAGACAACAGTGTCCACATCAGTCACACAAGACCTTCACAGACAACAGTGTCCACAGCAGTCACACAAGACCTTCACAGATAACAGTGTCCACAGCAGTCACAATACCTTCACAGACAACAGTGTCCACAGCAGTCACACAAGACCTTCACAGACAACAGTGTCCACAGCAGTCACACAAGACCTTCACAGATAACAGTGTCCACAGCAGTCACACAAGACCTTCACAGACAACAGTGTCCACAGCAGTCACACAAGACCTTCACAGACAACAGTGTCCACAGCAGTCACACAATACCTTCACAGATAACAGTGTCCACAGCAGTCACATAAGACCTTCACAGATAACAGTGTCCACAGCAGTCACATAAGACCTTCACAGACAACAGTGTCCACATCAGTCACACAAGACCTTCACAGACAACAGTGTCCACAGCAGTCACACAAGACCTTCACAGATAACAGTATCCACAGCAGTCACACAATACCTTCACAGATAACAGTGTCCACAAGACCTTCACAGACAACAGTGTCCACATCAGTCACACAAGACCTTCACAGATAACAGTGTCCACAGCAGTCACACAATACCTTCACAGACAACAGTGTCCACAGCAGTCACACAATACCTTCACAGACAACAGTGAGCAGTCACACAAGACCTTCACAGACAACAGTGCCCACAGCAGTCACACAATACCTACACAGACAACAGTGTCCAGCAGTCAATACTTCACACAACAGTGTCCACAGCAGTCACACAATACCTTCACAGACAACAGTGTCCACAGCAGTCACACAAGACCTTCACAGACAACAGTGTCCACAGCAGTCACACAAGACCTTCACAGACAACAGTGTCCACAGCAGTCACACAATACCTTCACAGACAACAGTGTCCACAGCAGTCACACAATGCCTCACAGATAACAGTGTCCACAGCAGTCACACAAGACCTTCACAGACAACAGTGCCCACAGCAGGACTTCACACACTACCTATGTCCACAAGTACCACAAGACAACAGTGTCCACAGCAGTCACACAATACCTACACAGACAACAGTGTCCAAAGCTATCACACAATACCTTCACAGACAACAGTGTCCACAGCAGTCACACAAGACTTTCACAGACAACAGTGTCCACAGCAGGACTTCACACAATACCTACACAGACAACAGTGTCCACAGCAATCACACAATACCTACACAGACAACAGTGTCCACAGCAATCACACAATACCTTCACAGATAACAGTGTCCACGGCAGTCACACAATACCAGCAATTGTACCAATCACACAATACCTACACAGACAACAGTGTCCATTGTTATCAATGCATGTAGCAGTAATGGTATCAACATACTACAGCAATGTGTGCTCACCAGAGGGGTCTTGCCGACCATGTTGAGATACTGAAGTAAACCCTTTGTGTGGTATATCGTCGGGTGCAGCTTGGGACAAGGATGTTGCCATCGACGATTCAGATCTTCAGCTACCAATGAACATCGATGACTGGAAACAAGAATTGCATGTATCATGGATAGTGGACACAAGCATATTGACAGACTTATTCTTTACAAAGTCACTTGATGAGGTGAACATACTATTTGACATGACCAGCAAAATATCCCAAAACAACACGCTTATTGGCACTGTCACATAGCTTTTAGTAGTTTTATTTAACAAACACTATCAACTGATGGTATCTTTACAGCTCATGTTCAAGCAATGTACTCTGCATCATGATCTGATATCAAAACTGCTCATCACTAACTACAGCCAACAGGAAATACAGCTGGAGTCAGAAGGGTAATTACTGTATGTCTCTTTGCTTTAGAAGCACTGCAAGTACAAACCCTGCACTGCTGTACTCTCCTGTCAAATGACTTACTTTCCATTGATGACACCATCAGGGTTCAGCATGGGAACTATCTTGAAGATGAATTTCTCTCGCAGCTGTTGAGCATGTGAACTCTTGCTCATCAAAAAGTCAATTGTACCTGCAATGTAATACACTGAATCAGTGCTTCAGGAAATGTTTTATCTTCATTTGATTTCATTGTTAATTGATTTGCTTAATTATTCTAACATGATGGCTGGCCTACAAAACACAAAGAGAGAAATCAGTTCAAAGGTACATGCATCTGATCCTTCTCAAATAAGTATCACTTAACACAGCAGCACCACATTACTGAAAAGATTTATCATACAAACATTTAGAGGTGTATTTTAATCAGTTTGGTTTTGTTCACACTGAACCATATCCATATGACTCCAGATTCAGAAGTATATCAAGGCTCCAGAAGGGTGAGGCAAGGTGACAGGTGCAGTTATAATGAATTCACATTTATAGCAAAGAGCATGGAGTATGTGGCTGTTTGTACTAGTCAGGACTAAGGCTGGTTTCACTGTGCTAGACGATGGATATACCATCTCACAGTTAACGCTGACACCACATCCAGACACAGTTTACTGACTCCAAGCTGACCAGTCCTGGCTTCATCCCATTAATGTCCTGTGGAGATGGACATCAGATACCAGTCTGGGTAACAACAAGTACCACACTTTCTTCTTTCTTTACCTTTCATGATCCAGCTTGCATTGCTTTCCCCTGGGTGGACGCGAGCACTCAAGAAAATGTATGGACGGCTCCCTGTTGGTACAAGAAAATACAACTGTTGATTACATTATAAACACTGCTTTGCCAAAACATTTCAGTCAGTGTACACTAAGGAAACATTGAGGAATGACCTCAGGCTAGCAATTCTTGAAACGTTCGTAGCCTTACAAACTTCTTAAGCCCATTCTTAACACATTGGCTACGATCAAAGTTAAGAATTCTTAGGGCTACAAATGTTTCGAGAATAAGGGCCCTGATCTCCATGCAGGACTGATGCCCAAACTAATGACTTAACACCTGATTACAGAACACAATTATTCCCTTGTATCAGTGTTTGCTATAAGGGTGGGTTTGGTTCCTGCCAGTTTGAACAGTATTTCAGTTATTTCACAGCCTATCAGCTGAATATGGACGGCAGGGATGCAACTCTGAAAATCTAATTGCTGCACCTTAGATGGATGACTGGGTCAACTGTTCCTCCTACTGTAAAGGAAACTGCAATTGAAGTACCTGAGGTCTATACAGATACAACTGACTAGAATTCCCACCAGTGTCACCTTCATATGGTCCTTCAATGAAGCAGACACTCTACATGCTACTGGTCGAAATTGAAATCCCCCAAATCCTCAAGCCTGATCAATAGCACACGTTATATCCAAACAACAGCTTCCCAGCTATATCTGTGCTAGTGACTTACTAAAATCCTCTATGCCCTCCTTGTCGAGAGTGTGGGGCTGGGCAGTGATGGTGAGAACTGGGGTGGCGTTCCCTCCCAGGGTGTCACACAGGGTCTGGTTGTGGTAGTAGATCTGACGGGTGTCCAGCTGCCCCTCAAGCAGGTACAGGTGGGTCTACAACACACACAAGTCCACCATGATAATGACAATCACAGCAAACTAGGCCAGACAAAGGCAGAATGGTGGAGGTGCATGGGTGGGCAGACTTACCATGAGCATTGTATAGGTGTTTGGAAAGGTAGACTTACCATGAGCATTGTGTAGGTGTTTGGAAAGGCAGACTTACCATGAGCATTGTGTAGGTGTTTGGAAAGGTAGACTTACCATGAGCATTGTGTAGGTGTTTGGAAAGGTAGACTTACCATGAGCATTGTGTAGGTGTTTGGAAAGGTAGACTTTGGCATTGTGTAAAGGCTTACCATGAACATTGTGTAGGTGCTTAAGGTAGACTTACCATGAGCATTGTGTAGGTGTTGGAAAGGTAGACTTACCATGAGCATTGTGTAGGTGTTTGGAAAGGTAGACTTACCATGAGCATTGTGTAGGTGTTTGGAAAGGTAGACTTACCATGAGCATTGTGTAGGTGTTTGGAAAGGTAGACTTACCATGAGCATTGTGTAGGTGTTTGGAAAGGTAGACTTACCATGAGTGTTGTGTAGGTGTTTGGAAAGGTAGACTTACCCATAGTGTTTGTGTAGGTGTGTTTGGAAAGGTAGACTTACCATGAGCATTGTGTAGGTGTTTGGAAAGGTAGACTTACCATGAGCATTGTGTAGGTGTTTGGAAAGGCAGGCTTTGTGTAGGTGTTTGGAAGGTAGACTTACCATGATTGTGTAGGTGTTTGGAAAGGTAGGCTTACCATGAACATTGTGTAGGTGTTTGGAAAGGTAGACTTACCATGAGTGTTGTGTAGGTGTTTGGAAAGGTAGACTTACCATGAACATTGTGTAGGTGTTTGGAAAGGTAGACTTACCATGAACATTGTGTAGGTGTTTGGAAAGGTAGACTTACCATGAGCATTGTGTAGGTGTTTGGAAAGGTAGACTTACCATGAGTGTTGTGTAGGTGTTTGGAAAGGCAGACTTACCATGAGCATTGTGTAGGTGTTTGGAAGGTTGAACTTACCATGAGCATTGTGTAGGTGTTTGGAAAGGTAGACTTACCATGAGTGTGGTGTAGGTGTAGGGGTAGTGGTAAGCCAGGTAGCAGATATCCCGATTGTGTTTAAACTTGACGGTGAAGGTAGCAGTGTAGTAAGACTTGCCCTTCACACCGCCAGTCGTGAGGCCACTGCGGATGAAGTGGTTCTTGTAATAACAGATCTCTGTCCCAACCCGCTTCCAGAATCCACGGCCCTCCACAGCATCAGTCACAGAATACATCACTGGCTTCATCCCTGCAACGTTTCACAGACCAAACTCAACATCATCCTGATGATCTCCTATTAGGCAAATAGTTGAAGACATACTATATTTGTTCTCTTACAAACATAAAACAACACAAACTTTAACTTGTGTATACTCAATGTTTCATAAAACAAAACTAACTCCCTTAGTAATAAATGGACTAACTGTTGAACTGACCAAATCAAGGAGGTAAGGAAACGAGCCAAGTTGTTCAGGAAAGCTGTCATCTGATTGGCTCAAAACCCATCATTCCTGCTGACAGAATTATCCAGTCCTGGGTCCTCTTACATATCCTTCTTTGGAGGTATCATCAGACATATCCATATCTATGGATGTTTAATTAGATTTTGATGCAGAGGCATACCTGTCAAGTTACATGTCTGACAAGCTATCACACCACGGAGATAAATCTGCACAGAACACACTACAACTAAGGCTACCTGAGTTGAACTGGCTGTTGAGTTTTTCACAGTTGACGATGTTGAAGCGATAGGGCACATCAGCAACCATGTTGCTCACTTCAAAGTAGAACCATTGATGATGATGGTTTGTGTTGACATCAGGATTAAGGATCAAGTCATACTCATATTCACGTACCTGCAAGCAACAGTTTATCATGTCATGTTAACATAGTGGCTTGCAGTTGTGATCCTCTTTCTCATCATGTTAGACCCAAGAAAGACTTCAAAATTGTTATTTCTATTCACATATCTATACATAACACAAGTCTATGTTAAAGTATGGGAGTTATGATTGTCTTAGCAGTAAGATCTCTGTTTGGAATGGGATCCCAGACATATCAACAGGAGCTGAGGTTTCAACAGTATTTCAATTTTGTCATGGCTTTTCAGAGCAAAGCCTGAAGTGATACAAGTCTTAAACATGTACCTATTTGATGAACCACATAAGGACAAGTATAGGGCTGACTACTAGATCATGAGAGTAAACCTTGGATGACTCCTTGACCAGCAGATCCTGCTGAGGTCATGGGAAGAAACTCTGCACAGTAAATTGCTTTACCTTAGTGCCACCTGGGCATCTCTAATAAGATGAGAAAATTAAATGACACTCATAGCACTAATATCTCCTTGTGAAACGGGTCAATTGACAACATGAATGATCTCTTATCTTACCTGAATGACTTTCCTGAGGTTTCCACTCTCAAATTGAGAGTTAAATCGTAAGGCACTACTGGTCATGTCCTGTCTACCTATCCTGTGAGCAATATAAGTTTGTTACATTGGGCATCATACTATGAGACTTCCTAAAAGATGCTTATAAATCATGTGTAAGATTTGCAGTCTACAACAGTAACAAGCTCTGTATGGTTTCAACAGTATAAGCTTTGAAAGCCCTATGCACATTAAACACAATGTCCTCAGTTTGTTTGTTTTTCATTAATATGCAGCAAGAACTGGAAACAAATTTGAAGGCATTTTTTTCTCCCTTGAAGAATATGTTAGTTAGTTCAAATTTAAAATTAATTTTAGAAAGAAACCCACAATACAGTACGACTAACAGTTACAAATATCACCAACAGTCACTTAAAACGTTCTGATTTCAGCATTTATGCTTATAAATATATAGATACTGACTAAAGAAAGAAACATACATGAAAAGCTAATGACAAGTCATTTATAGAAAGATACACACATGCAAAAGTTCACTTCACCAAGTCATAGATAAAGAGCATTACATATTGCCAAGCCCCACTCATTACTAATCACAAATGTGCCAAAAAAACAAATACGTCTGAATAATGGTCATAATGTGCTATTTATAACGTCTTGCATAAATTCAAGTGTCATCACATATGGTAAGAATCATGGTGAAGTTTAAGTGACATTAGTATGGTGGTTTCTGGGGAGGTCATGTTTACAGTGCAAGGAAATGTGTTTAGAGAGAACTCAGGAGCATGGTTATACATGCTGTATATAAGCAATGTGCCTACCTGAGCTCATCTCTGTTGGCCAGGTTGGAGTTTTCCTGACTGAGTCCGGTAGCATCTGACACGGCAAGATCCAGGTTGTACACCACACGGTCGATAACATAGTCAGGGTGGATCATTCGGTCAATGTCCTCAAATACTTTGGCTCTGCAATATAACAAACAGCCCATTATCAGTGTATGAAATAAGCCCAAACCCCAGCCAGACATCAGGGCTGGTAACTTCAAAATGTTACAAGTCCAAAATGGATTTAACCAGACCAGACACCATATGACTTGGATGTATATCACATCTAAATTGTTTACCAGACCATCGGGCTGGCTAGCTGTAAATCTAGACCGTCCGTCTGAAATCTAACCCGTCTCGGGCGGTCGGACAGGCCTTATTTCATACACTGCTATTATGACAGCAGTATTCATGTGACGCATTCCATCCCCATCCCCAGTGGAGATTAGAATCCCTCTGCAGCTGTAACCCACAACATACAGTTCACTGTGGTGGGACAGCATGGTTTACATGTGCTTCCAGCTGCATTCATGCTGACCTGTAAATAACTGGTCTGGGGCAGTAAAAAAGTTGTCCATACAGATCTATGGTTCATATCCTCAGGGACACAGACATTTTTCATGCAATGCAACATGTCACTCTCAGTAATGGTGATCATTATCATAGATCAGAGGTACAGATAAGCTGCGTATCTGCGTAAATTATGCAAATATCTATGTGAAAACTCAATTCCTACTCAGTCTATTGAGTACAAGTAGGCTTTAAATTTTGTAAATACTCAATAAATGTGATCTTACATGTGTACACACAAAAATGTCAAAACTTAGCTTGCGTACAGGTGGATAGATAAAATAACTGAGGTATACTGAGAGGTTCTATTACAGGACATGAACTTGGCAACTTGCAGTATTTCTTATCGTTTCTCATATTACAGATCAAATATAAATAATAAACACTAACATTTAAAATTTATTATATTTTTACAATTAATGGAAAATGGCAAAATACCGAATTGACATTGAGTGAGGTGAGAACAATTTATTTGGTTACTCAAAGGAAAATCAGTATACCCAATTGAGATGAACACAAGTGAGTACATAACTCAATGACCCAAAACATTAGCTGTAGCTCTGATAGAAAGAAGCTGACGTATATGACCGTCTATAAGACGACCCCATGGATAAGACGACCGCCAAACTTGACCCTTAAAATCAGTGTCAAAATGGTATGTTTCGTGCATAAGTTGATCCCCCGCGATGGGGTCCTAATAGCGGCTAACACAGACTACAGACAACTGGCAGTTACCAATAATTATAACTTTGGTCCACATTATTCAAAGAATTCACTGTCATATATATTGCGTCTACTCACGGATCGAAACGAAGTGTAGTTGACAGAAAATGCGTAATATATTTTGCTTCTCTAAATATCATATTTATTGTAGCAACAAACTGGCTTGCTTATTTTACCCCATTCAACAATCACGAACTGATTACCGCCTCGTTTTCCATTGACTGCGAGTTTTCAGTAACATCGGTAAAAATGTGTGAATTTAAATGGCTTCCGTACTTTACCGCATTCCATGTGCTTACCACGTTCATGAGGGTCCGTATAACCTTAGTGTTGATTATATATATTTTACATAAAAACTGTAAATAAAATTACACAATGCTAGGATATATTTCGAAAGCGTAACCCATGGATAAGACGACCCCCTTCTACAGACTGCTTTTTTTGGTCCTCAAAATTCGGCTTATAGACGGTCATATACGGTACCTTCCTAACCCAAGTCAGTTTGTCTGGTGTAACATGGTATATTGGGGTGCTCGTGCGATTTCAAATCTTTTTCGGAGGTTTAGAGCATGTCCTTATCACGCTTACATCAACATCACAAACCAGCCCAGGTTTCAGGTTAATTATTTCTGCTGATCATAGTTCACTCTTATGACATAAACAGGTGATGAAGATGCTGTCCAGGAGTCTCTCATGGGGAACATGTTTCATGTTTATAACCTTAATACTTCTACAAACGTATCAACAAGAGACAAAGTATTCATAACTAAAATTCCACATGTACATAGTTTTAATGTAAGTCATAGTGACTTATTGATTCACAAATGTATATCCATGAAGGAACAACTCACCTCTGTACTCCAAACTTTCTGTTATAGAGATTTTCAGGGAGAGGCATTGCTTTGGCACCATGGAGATCTGGATAACCCAGTTTCTCGAATTTAAAGGCACTTCTTGTTGCTGAGGCTAAATGATTGTGAACCCTAGGGTCATATATCAAGTCATATTCATCTATATCATCACTGCTGGATGACATGGGTCGATCATAGTCCTCTAGATACTCATGGGGGGTGGAAATCGGAGTGATAGACAGAGCCTCTGTGAACTCAGGCTCCGCTTTGCTTCGTTTTGATTTCTTGTCTTTTCCTGTTTGGGACTTTTTAGAATTTTTCAGCTTTTTTGATGGCCTTTGCGAGGACTGTGCAGATTTTGGCAAGGGTTTGTTACTATTTGGTATTTGAAGATCCAAGGAAAACACACTGGCACCGGTTTTCACATTCACAGCAGTAGCAGTTTCCTGGGTCTGGAATGGACCATAGCGCCCAAAGCTGATGTCACTGCCTACAACAGGTCGATGGCTGCTTATCCGATTCATGACTGTGTCAGATTCGCTACCACCAACAGATCTGTGCGATGTCCGGCCGAAACTGTCACTGATATTAGAAGATGACTTGACTCGGCGGCAAGCAATGTCTGGGTAATGGTCATATGCACTGAGGAACATTGGTTCTGAGGCAGCAGTGGGTATCACCACCGAACCTTGTCCCCCTGGATTCTGCAAAGGTTCACAGTTCAATGTAAATATGATAAATACAATCAATTCGTGATTCTGGCACTCATGTATTGAAATAAAACCCAGATATTTATCAACTGGACCATGAAGTAGAATATAATTACCCAAACGAAACTTCCTGCTAGTTCCATTTTTTTTAAAGGTTTTTGCCAATAATACAATTATGGAAACTTAAAAACACTCCCTAAAATCAAAATCCTACAATGAATTTGTAAATTACCTAATTGTGGTTGGTCAATAAAATCACGTCAAGTACGTCTGCTTGAAAAAGCTATTTTGATGGTCCTATCATTGCAGAAGGTAATTTAACAACACTTGTATCTCAATTATTGTTCAATCAAAATTCAAACCAATGTAGTTTAATCTACAGGCCTACTAGCTGTTCATGAAAACATTAGTTTGCTTCTCTCATATTTGTCACATGCCTTGGGTTTTCAAAGTAACATTTTCTTACCTCAAAATCATATTCAAATAGTTCCGGAAAGAACTTATCATACATTCGGAGGTCTTCAGCTGATCTTTGTATCATGGGTTCAAGCCCGTCTCCCTGTTCCTCATCAGGCTGAAAACATCCACATTTATCATCATTTGTCTGAAGCAGACTCATGTGAAACCAAACGTTTGGTCTGGTGTGGATTAGTAATAGTGACACTAGAGTTGCAGCTCTTACTGTTATGATATGGACACAAATTTCTCACCAAAATGTTTACACAACAGGGAAAAATAGCTAAAGTTTGAAGATAAATGCATTACTAATTCTTTAAAAGGTGTAACAACCTTATAAGTGTGATTGTTTATCTTGTGACCTTGACCTTTGAATTTTTAATGACATGTGCTAAAAGATATCCCTACGGTCATTTCGAAAAAGTTCATGCAAGACAAATCTCAATATGATTGTGTGTTAAATACATCTGACAAACCAACAATGGTAGCAGTCAATTCCAGAAAAACAATGGATTAGTTCAGTATCCAGTGTTGTTACTGTGACATTTGGCCTACACATAATATATCCATGGTCTGATCTGTGAGATTTGACCCACCTCATCTGAGTGATCAGTTCGGAATCTTTCATCATCACTATCGATATCATCATCGTCATCCATCGAGCTATGATCACTCTCTTCTTGACTAGGCACAATACCAAAGGCTGAAATAATACAGTCATAATACATTAGGTAGTATAGTATCATCAGATTTCATTCAGCGATGTGATAGCAAAACACATGGACAAAATAGCATGGAAAAACGACTGCAGATGAGTTATCTCCCTTGATAACTATGGACGTTGAAAAGAGATATGGATTACAAAAAATTAAACACAGCAATACTTTCAAGATCTTAAAGAGACTGCAGGATTGTTCCTTGTGTGCCATACAAATTGACACCAGTAATAAAACCCTACCTTGCTCATCAGACAGGCAGCATTCTGGGACGTGGAAATCGGATGCTGGCAAGGGTAGGACACACAACTCTGGACGTCGGCAACTGGAAGTTTGTTCCGTGGACAGCACTTCCTCATGATGATACTGGCCAGCAAGATGAGACTTTCCATCTCACGACAGTCGATCACCTCCTGGGACGTCTCATACAGCACCCGGATACCTTCAGATTCCACAAACGCCTTCCTGCCAGATTCTGTGAACAGAGTGAAATGTCATAACTATATCAATAAACAAAGCAGAATATTTGTTTACTACGGCATCTAGCACATCAAACACATCATGTAATTAAGTGCAATAATTTGAAACATTATATAAATCCCCAGTCTGTAATACAGACCCTGAAATAAATATGCCCCCTGCAGCCCATGAAAGTCTAGAATATGTGGCAAGTCTAGAGTACCACAGTTTCTGAAAACTGGGCTCTGGGCTCCTTTTAATTTTATTTATGAATATAAAGTAGAAACTGTTTTTCTGTAAAATATGCTTATTTCAGAGGCAAGATGTTAGTTTAACATATCCCATTTCAAATCAGCTGAAATATCATCAAGGTAAAGCATGTTTGTTCTTGTATCATCAACATTAATGAAAAAATAGAAACCCCCACTGACCAGGAACCCCCATGCCCCACCCAAGGATAAAACATCATGTTCATATTGTTTGCTGTATTTTGTCGATCAACAATGTTCCAGCTATGTCGACATGGGCAATAAATAGTAGTGTACTGGACAGGCAAGCCAGTGATATTATGAACAACATCCATCACTGACAAGCTGATCCAAAAGTCATCTCTTTCAAGGAATAGATGTCTTAAGGCCTTTTTAAAAATATCATAAAAATTGGTAACATTAAATTGGATTTATGGCATTAAAAATTTCAGAAGCAAACTACCCTTATAGTCACTAACATGCAGAGTGTGTGGCTTTATGTACATTTGCTGTACAGAACTGAGCTGGAGGCTGCGTTTGGTTTAAGGCTGCTTTCAACAGTATTCAGCTATGTCACGGCCTATCAGATGAAAATAGGAGTAGTCTGTATCTTGTATGTTCACAACTCTGGCGAAACCTGCAGCTTCTGATGCTAACCCAGGATTGACGCTGGAATAGTGGTGTCTGGCATATCAAAGGGACACAACTCCGCACAATGAATTGCTGCACTTCAGACGACTGAGCCACTCCTTGCCTACAGATGTGACTTACTGAGGTTGGTGATGTTCTTGAGGATGTTGAGCACAGCCTTCCTGAGGTTGATGTGTCTGTGTTTGCTGTCTGTCTGATGCCAGTCCGTGTAGAGAGACAACACTGTGGGAACCCCTCCCATACCAATAGTCCTCGCAGAGTTGCTTTCTGCAATACATACTCAATTTTATCAGGTCAAAAAATGTCTGCTGAGCCTAAACACTGACATTGTCATTTTAGGCCAATGCATGACAGGCAAAATTGATAAAGAATGCATCATTTTTTAAGGTAAATGTTGCATTAGAAATGAACACTTGCATGTCATGAATATTCTTAAGAATTGCAGGTGAATGGTCAGATCAATCTGTATAATAAGTAGTAGCTTCCTGGAAAACATGGATTTTTTAAACAATAAAATATGCAAAAACAAATCAACAAACATGTAACAAACTTCAGTAGTATCGTGATGCATCATCATGGAGTGGTGTAGGTTTTAGATGTAAACAACTTTGGTGCAAACCCACCATCACTGGAAGGAATGGAACGTCTTTGATAAATGGTTTGCCTGGAGACATGTGGGGACACTGGTCTAAGGTGAACATAGTGTAATAAATTACGAAATCAGATATAGCTGCTGCCATGAAAATCAAAAAAGCTTGAATGTGAAAGTTTTCTTGTGGTTTCCCTTACTTGATTTTGTCAGGTTGTTGAGGTTATCCAGGGCAAGCTTGAGGACAGCAGTGTGCTTCTTACCACAAAGGGAGGTAACTTTGAACATGACATTGATGGAGCTGTGTTTGCCCAGGTAGGATGCATTTACACCTAATAATGAGAAAATCTATGGGTTATCAAAGCAAACAAGCAAAACACATTCATAACAACATGTCCAAGGACAAACAAATTAGGAATTTGGATCTTTTCAAATGGATGTTTCAACAAACTACATAATTTTAAGCATAATGTTTTAATATCTATATGTACAAAACTGCTGACCCCCCAATGTTAATGTGTAAATGTTAATAAAATTCATGATCCCTCTACCTCCCCATAACAAAATGGGTGACCCTCCCTAAAAATCACCCACCCCAACACACACATACACACCCCCTGTGATGAAGCAATAATCATCATGATCTACTGACTAAAACAGTGACTATGTCAGATCACATTCTACTTCTGTTTCTTGCTTAACACCACACTTAGCAATATTCCAAACATTCCAGAAGAATGATGGTAGTCTGTATACTGATAGACCCTGGACAATTCAATGTTTGACATCATGAGCATCGATCTATGAAATTGGGATATGATGCCACATAAACCAAATCAGCAAGTCTTACTACCCAGTGCCGTTACTTGCCTCTTACAAAAAGCATCAGTCGCTAAAGACCTATTCTGACCCAGATCAGATTCTGCTAAACATACAGAACAACAACAGTGTCAGAATGTACATGGTGCATCAGTGTTGACACTCACTGTTGTTAGTGTACATCTTGAAGACCTGAAGTAGACTCTGTAGGTTACGGAAGGTGGAGGTGTTGCTCTTGATGAGACTAAGTGTCAACAACAGCACTTTGTTCAGCCGAGCCTTCACAGCAAACTTCCGATCTGGAACATAACATATTAATATTCAGGACTTCTTGTGAATTCTTTCACAGTACTCTGCTCCATGAAACTGCAAGGTCATGGAGACCCATTGAAAAAGTTCGGACTCTGACTGTGAAAGAGTGTGCAGTTGTATATAAAGGATGTAACAAAAAGTTTGTTTTTTCCAATTATTTCTTATCAAATACATAATGTCTAAACAAGATATAACATACTTTATCATATTTCCAGCAAACTGTGCTAAAATTCCATTGCGGCCTTGTGGACCCTGAGATTTTTGGCTGAATCTACAAACCTCCTAAATGAAATGTTTAAGTAGGGTTAAGACAAAATCATTGAATTGCATGCTTAACTTTGAACAAGAAATAAGCTTTAGTGTTTAAATCCTACCCTTGTGTCCAATTTTGCTGAGTACCATATGAATATTCATGAGGACATCATCAGCCAATGACATGTCCTGTGCTGCCATCTTGAGGATGTGGAAGAGGACAGAGGTCACACCATGGTTGACTAGGAGACTGGCCCGCTTCCCTACCTCTGTACAAAAAACAGACACACAATTAGCACTCCCAATCACCTCATCACCCTGGGGTTTCAACAACTGGTGTGGGATAACTTGGTTTTTAGTGCGAAAAATATCTATTCTTTGAATGTAGCATGTTCTGATGCACTGAATGTTAGGTTATGATGTGTATAACTTTCAGCTGTCAAATTTAGGGAGTGTTGATAATTTATGGCAAGGGGTGGATAGAAGAGAGGGGGGATCGGGGTGGGGGTTGATCATGATTTTAAGGAGGGTCACCCATTTTGGTGGGGGGTGTTTTGATTTTGTACTTGACGTACACTTACTCTGTACATAAATTTCTTCATAAAATGCTTCTTCATAAAAATCCTCATCACCCCCCAAGCCATAGAGTGTGAACAGTCGCTTACTTCTGAACTGACAAGAATGACATTAAAGACAGTATTACATAAAGTAACCTAAATCACGATGTCCAAACATGACTCTAACAGAACAAGTATTCCAAATGAATATTATACTTACGAGCTTTACCGACCAGTTCGATGAGAATACCAACCACCCCTGCTATGACCTGATCATCTGATGTATTCTACAAACACAGGAAATACATGTTCCATGTACATATAAGTTACACAAGTAAACACCATGGAATTCTCACAGACCCTATGTTTCAGGAAGGATAACCATCACCGCCTTCATACAAGGGGTGAGTGATCTCGTTTAACTCCACTTTGAACATTTGAACATGTCAGTGATATCAAGGTTTGTCAACCTTGCTGGTAAACTTAAATTCACTTTATTGAAACCCTCAACTACAATCATAATCTGGGAAAATCAGTGAGCAAGGTAGATACTGTATTTCTTTGTTGTTTAACTAAGCACTCAGCAATATTCCAGCTATATGGCATCGGTCTGTAGTTAATTGACTGGACAAGACAATGCAGTGATCAAAAGCATGAGCATCAATCTACACCACTGGGATACAACGACATGTGCAAACCAAGTCAGCAAGCCTGACCACCCAATGCCGTCAAGCATGGGTTGCTGAATTCTAGACCCGTGAAGATCCGGGTTAGACTTGATCTTCAGTAACCCATGCTTGTCATAAGATCGGGTGGTCAGGCTCGCTGACTTGGTTGACACGTGTCATCGGTTCCCAATTGCCCAGATCAATGATCATGATGTTGATCACTGGATTGTCTGGTCCAGACTCGATTATTTACAGATCGCCGCCTTATAGCTGGAATATTGCTGAGTGCGGCATAAAACTAAACTCACTCACTCACTCACTCACTCACTCACTCCACTCACCCACCCACCCACCCACTCACTCACCCACTCACCCACCCACCTACCGACTCACTCACTCACTCACTCACTCACTCACTCACTCACTCACTCCACTCACCTCACCCACCCACCCACCCACTCACTCACTCACTCACTGAATTCTAACCTGGATCTTCCCAGGGGATAGATATGGTAAAGGAGACACAGGAAACATCTGGCAGTTATTTCACTGCTAAATATTGTTGTGATCTTTAACATACGATATTGTTGTTACTTTCAATACTCAGAGAAAGCAATGAAAACAGCAGAAATACACTTAAAGCGAACTGTCCTTTATGTCTACAGGGATCTCTGCTCCACCCTTTTAAATTGCTGGTCCCTTCGATGCAAAGGGAATGTTGTTGTCGTACCTGCAGTGTAGCCACCAAGATGTCGACATTGCTCGACTGTTTCAGTATCAAGTCCCGATGTAGCTTGTCTGTAAAAGAAGGAAGATACTTCTACACTAATACTAAGGCCACAATACGTTAACTATTACATGTTCATCCCAAACTCTCAAAGGCAACTATTCACAGCAAGTGTACTTTACATGTAGTTATGATTCAAATGAAGCACAAACGTTTGATACTAGGTACAATAAAATATTGTAAGGTGTATTTGGTAGTGAGGAACACGAATGTAACAATTTATTTTTAATTCTGATTTTGACAATCAAATATATTTGATATTCCAATTCTTGAATTTTATACAACACATACACATAATTATATATCTGCTTATGAATTGCATGAATTCACACAAAGTAAAGCTGATAATATTGTTACTCCAGTTCAGCACACATTCTGACTGCACTCTCAGCTCCCGACTGTGTTCATCTAGCCTATGCTCATGAGCTGCCTGTAAGAGGCCTTGCTTTATTATGGTATGCATCTCACCCTACTAGATGCCCAATCACGGCATGGACACAGCAGGCCTTCTCAAAAACGATTCACTTGCTCAATCAAATTCGAAACATCTTTGTAATCTGTTTAACCTTAGAAACTCTACACCCATTTCCACCTCTTCAGCTCAGCATTGTTTTATAAAAGTTTGTGTGCACTTGACAAAGGAGTGTTTGCCATCACATGATTTGTTACTGATAAAAAGATCAACATTGCTATCTTTTTTTAAAAGTGTGTAAGTGCACAAGAGGCAATCAGAAACAGTGTTAAATAATTGACAATGGTAAAACTGATGTTACAGAGGTCTCCATACTCTGAACATCTGCACGCCAGGCCATGAAGCTATAGCTGTGGCTCCATCATACACATGGCTAGTGTCATTCTGGGGACAGGGGGTAGCCTTGTGTTTAAAGCAGTGTTCACGAATTGTGTCTCAAAGTCACAGGACATTGGGTCCTGTAAGTTTCAGATGTCTGTCTGACCCATTAGAAATTCACAGGACCCATAGAATAAAATTAAACACACATTTCAGATTTAACATTTCTTATAATTGGCATTGAAATTATAAACAAACATAAGATTTATAAACAGCAAACAAGTGACACATGTCATATATAACAACTTCAGTCAAAGTCATTGTGAAATATAGGGTCAGACACTGGGGCTGGCGGGTTGTAGACTTCTGTCTGACCGTTGGCGAATCTGCCAGATTTGTCAGAGGGTCAGATGCTATTCGTGAACACTGTTAAAGCATTTGCTTGTCATGCCCGAAGACCTGGGTTTGATTCCATACTTGGGTACAATAAGTGAGGCCTATTTCTGGTGCATTCCGCTGTTTTATTGCTGGAATATTGCTAAAACTGGCTTAAAACTAAAACTCTCTCCTTGTGACTCGTGGGTTCTAGGCTAGAACAGCAGAATACAGTTGTATCATACATGACAATATCACGGGAGAAGGCATTAAATGAATTACTTTATCAGCAAGCATCTAAATCATCAATAGTGATCAGAATAAAGTAAGACCTGGTTAGAAAATGTGTGAAAGTCCAGTGGCTCCCATATTAACTCCCAAGATGGCAAGAAATTTTAATGACACACATGACATGCATCAGAATTGTGATTGCACAGCATTGGCTCTACCTCCAACTATTAACCTATGCACAGGTGAAGCATGGAAAGGTGAAAAAATAACTGCAATTATTGAACTGTTTGAAAGCAGACATGGCTTAGAGTTGTCAGATTTAGAAATGTCTAAAAAACAACAAATTTAGCAACTATTGTACCCCTATAAATATACTTTGTGAGAATTTATTGTCTGAGGGATGACATCTTGTAAGTGTAGTAAGCTAGTCTGTAAGCTGAGAGACTGTACAGACTTGACTCTATATAGGTCACAACTTAAGACATATCTCTTCCCTCGAGCCTTTCTCACTGTGCGCTGTGAGCATGCAATCAGTCATGGATATATGCACATTACAAATGTTCTATTATTAATTAATATTATTATTACTAGTCCTACAAAAGTGATCTGTAACGTGAGCACATGAGCTGCCTGGGTGTTTGTATTATTGATGAGAGTATTCCTATGTAATCAGTCCATCTACATACAAGAGCAGTTACTGAGATAACAAAACAATATCATGGAGATTCACAACTGTGTATTTGTATGTCAGGTCTTTTTTGGCATAGATATGAGTTAGTGGATGTCAGAGAATAATTGAAATTATGCAGAGAATTGAAAGCACCTGTTTAAACTTTGGTCATTGTGTGTAGATACTGAAGAAAAAGAGCAGTTTTGGATATATGGTCTGGAGAATTAAAAGTCCCAACTGATGCCATGAAAACAGAAACTTAACAAATTCTCAATATTCCTAAATAGCAAAAGGTACCAGTTGACAACCTAGGGCTCCTTTCACAAATCAACCTTTAGTAAGGTTAACCTTAGCTCCCATTCTTAAACATTGCACTAAGGTTACCTTACTGTTAGTGACTTACGATCACCTTAGTGCTTTGTGAAAGGAGGCCCAAGGCCCCATTACATAAAGCGATCGCAGTGTTACGACAGCTTCATGGAAGATTACCTAATATTTTCTGAGACATGGTCCAGATAAACGCTCCAATATATAACAGAAGAAATATGGTCCAGACAAAAGTTGATGGTCAGAGAAGTCAATAACTATATTCCCTGGCATTACATAACAGGAGGATAACAAGGAAAGCATGTTTAATTAACAAATTCTAAGAAATTACAATATTTGATGTAATGCCAAAAGAAACACACAAAGGAGAAATATGGTATACACAACTAAATTTGTCAATTTCTTATGCAAATAATCTTTGAAAATCCTCAATTATTAAAGGTTCATGTGCTAACTGTACCTGTATCAGATCATGATTTCAGTAAATATGTTTAATGAATCAGTGTAGATTACAGTAAATATGTTTAATGAATCAGTATAGATTTCACAAAATATATTTCCTCAAAATTTCAGTAAATATACAAAATCTCCTGAAAATTTCAGTAAATATACAAAATCCCTAACGGAATCAGTAAATATACATACCAGGTAATCACTGAAAAAATCAGTAAATATTCATATGTCCTGATTATACATATTTACTGTAACATATATATACTTTGTCTTGTTAAAAGTGATATTTGTTGCAGCTAGAAGATCACATGTCAACAAAGTGTTTTCGTGCAAAAGATCATGCAAAACCCCAGCAGTGACAGGTCAAACTGTGCCGCATAACCTTTAGTTATGATTATAATTATTTTATATTTACAGAGCAAAACCTGCAAATAAAATAACACATTGCTAAAGTATATTTCTCTTGGTAAAATAATAGTTTCAGATACTATTGTTTCCGATCACTGTATCAAACTTTATTTCCTTTATATTATTGGGTGTGTTTTAACTGAATCACCAGTAGATGGAAGAAACATGTGCACAGTTCATTGCTATTTCCAGCTCAATTTACAAGACAAATACACATGGTAATCGTAATCCCTGCATATAATACAATGCCTAGCAAATGCAAATTAGAACTGAAAAGGTAAATCATTGTCTATTGATCTTTAATTGTAAATTTTGACATTTTCATAAAGTTGTTATCTCTTGTTCGTTCACACGAAACAATACAATATCTTACCACCAGAAAAAAAAGTTTGATGAAAGCGTAACCTTTAGATAAGCCGGTTCTACAGAATGTTTTTTAAACCTCAAAAACTTTGTTTGCAGTTCGTTTCCACTCAGCTGTCAAATCATGAGATAGGATGAACTTAAACATTTCAGCTTATCTGTGGTCGTACACATTACACACCATAAAATATACATTTTGCTTTGATTACATAAAAAAAATGTTCTTTTTCCTGCCTCAATTTGTTTGGCTTAATTTTATCGGAAGCATCTGTATTGGTGTCAATGACAAATTTCCATTCAATTTTATAATGTATGAGGAACTCTAAGATGCTTCGGTGAAAGATCAATGGTGCCGACAGTACCTCCTCCCTTCAGGCCGTCGCTACAAAGTTCCAATTGTGAAAACTAAGAGAGCCCGTACATCCTTTATTCCAAGTACCATACCTCTCTTAAACAATTGTGAAGATACCTAAATCAATGAATTTATGTAAATATGTTTTGTATCTCTCTAATGTGTCAGTAGCTCTGCTGATGTAACACAAACTCCTGAAAAGGCATTAAAGTATTATTCTATTCTATTCTATTCTATTCTATTCTATTCTATTCTATTCTATTCTATTCTATTATATTCTATTCTATTCTATTCTATTCTATTCTATTCTATTCTATTCTATTCTATTCTATTATCAGACGATTCTAGTCTGCCCCCTCGTAATCGAACAATTTTGCATTACATCACAATGTAAGCGATGTCACGAGTCATGTCAGTTGTCATCGCCTCGTACAGCCTCCTACAGTAAACTACACTGTTGCATCCTGTTTCTTGGTTTGCAGTTGCTTTAAGCAGCTAACATCACTGGTCGAAACATTACGTTTATGTTTTCCGACTGTTAAAATGTCTCCATTCGACTAACAAGTTTTCAGCAACACAGTAATGTTCGCAATGTTTACATTCCCACAATGCAATTGTGGAATGTTGCTTGACTACTCAGCTTCATCTGGATGTACTGATCTAAACTTACTTTGGTAGTAGAAATGCGATGTTCACATTATCCCATATGGTTTACGTTAATCACAGATGTAATTAAAATATTTTAGAGAAGATATTTAATCTGAACGTAAACTGTCATCAAACTGTTTATCATTTGTTTTTCTCGTAACGGGGGCAGACACATCAATAGAACAGGGCGCAAGTTATTAATGCGAGGATTCTTAATTTAGGTCACCGACACCATCGTTTGTTTTCTGCCTTACATTACTCGTAATTATCCTTAGAAAGTATTAAATTTGGCATCTTAGAAAAGAAACACAGTTCGCTCTACCATCGTGTATAGTGTAATAAAGCACACTTTCGCCCTGAACTATTATAACTTTAAAGCACTCGGATGCAAGCGTCCTCGTGCTTTAACTATAATAACTCAGGGAGAAAGTGTGCTTCATTACACTATACATGGTGGTAGAGCAAACTGTATTTTTTAATTAACAGATGTATCAAAGCTGAGTTTAAAAAATATGAAAAATAATTGGTGTCTCAAACCCGGTGCGGGAATGCTATGGACATCACGACATAATCTATGATCATGGTCATGTGACATGATCCTATAGTAACTAAACACACCTGGGAGGCAGACTGTGAAAAAACACAATCAGCATGATCAGCTAGCCAGGTGGGTTTTATGTCGGTTTATAAATATTACAGCATTATCATGGTGGGGAACACTAGAAATGGCTTGACACATAGTACCCATAGGATTCAAACCCGTGCCTTCAGAGTGACAAGGAAAAACTTTAATCACTGGGCTACACCACCGCCCAAAATGATCAATTAACAATACTGTTTGCCATATGATAATCAATAATGATAATAATATATTATATTATAAGGTATTAGAAAAATAAGCACGATTCCTGGAGTCCAGTACCACTTGAACTGGTATCTCACCTTGCCCATTGACGATCTGGTGCAACTTGGTGGTGACGTACTTGATCTGCTGAAGATCTTCAACCGTCTGCTTCTTGCTGGACTTCCCCAATGTCTTCTCCAGAAGCTGGAACAGGTTGCTCACCCTGGTCCTGCACACACACAACACACAACTGTCCTTGCTATGTTCATCACACACAATCATGTCTACCCTTGCTACTCACAGACACCAGATTACTTCCAGAAACACAACACACAACTGTCCTTGCTGTGTTCATCACACACAATCATGTCTACCCTTGCTACTCACAGACACCAGATTACTTCCAGAAACACAACACACAACTGTCCTTGCTGTGTTCATCACACACAATCATGTCTACCCTCGCTACTCACAGACACCAGATTACTTCCAGAAACACCAGAAACACAACACACAACTGTCCCTTGCTGCTGACACCAGATTTCATCACACACAATCATGTCTACCCCTGCATCGCTACTCACAGACACCAGATTACTTCCAGAAACACAACACACAACTGTCCTTGCTATGTTCATCACACACAATCATGTCTACCCTCGCTACTCACAGACACCAGATTACTTCCAGAAACACAACACACAACTGTTCATCACACACAATCATGTCTACCCTTGCTGCTCACAGACCTGTTCATCACACAACACACATCAATCATTCTACCCTCGCTACTCACAGACACCAGATTACTTCCAGACACACATCACACACAACTGTCCTTGCTACTGATTACTTCCAGAAACACAACACACAACTGTCCTTGCTGTGTTCATCACACACAATCATGTCTACCCTTGCTACTCACAGACACCAGATTACTTCCAGAACACAACAACACACAACTGTCCTTGCTGTGTCCTTGCTATGTTCATCACACACAATCATGTCTACCCTCGCTACTCACAGCAGATTACTCCAGACACCAGATTACAATCTTCCAGAAAAGATTACTTCCAGAAACACAACACACAACTGTCCTTGCTGTGTTCATCACACACAATCATGTCTACCCTCGCTACTCACAGACACCAGATTACTTCCAGAAACACAACACACAACTGTCCTTGCTATGTTCATCACACACAATCATGTCTACCCTTGCTACTCACAGACACCAGATTACTTCCAGACACAAACCACACAACTTTACTTGCCATTTTCATCATTAACAACCCTTCATTACGCAAACACACAAGATTTACTTCCTTACCCCAACCATACACACAATACACAAATGTACCTAACAATGCAGTCCTCAGTTCCACACAGACAAGATTTACTTCAGACAATTTATTGTTTTTTTACAAACAAAACAATTCCCAGCATTTTTCTGTGCTCTCAAAGCTCATAACAATACCAAAATTACATCACTTCCATACTATCTCACTGTCGCTGGCATCCAACAGTCATCATCATTCCTGTACCCTAACATCCCAGACTCTTACCATTATCCCAAACCATGATGCAGAGTTCAAATCTATAAAGCTAGTCAGCTTGTTGGATGCATGTCACACAAACATTATACAGGCTAGTTAAAATGAATGTTTCCCTTTGCTTGAATAATCTATTAATGTCAGTTACATATATAATATACTTTGTTGACACAATATATTCTTAATTCCTGCTTGTTCAACGGTTACTCTGACCCACAACATATAGCTATCTGGGCCCGGTTGTTCAATACTCGGTTATCTTAACCGCCGGTTAACTCCTAACGGCCGGTTAAATCCTTAACCGGCCGTTAGGTAACCCGAACGTTAAATATGCGTTGTTCAAAACATGGTTAGTCATGCCGTTAGCTAATGTCGCAGTAAAAGTTTAACAGTGTGATTAACGTCACTGGTTAGCTTCCATATATCAAACAATTCCGTTTTCTGTTTACTTCTGGATTACCAAAAATGGAATCGCGAAATGTCGCCTGCACCCCAAGGAAAAAGAGAAGTCGAAATTTCTCTGCTGACGATGAGAATGTAATCCAGTCAATGGTTGAGACCAACTCTATAGTTTATCATAGGCATGCGAATGTAGTAGCGCTACAAACGCTTGTATTGGAACATAAGGTTCCAGACGTTTGCATATATATTTCAAAGACATATGATCCCAGCTCTGTGTGGGACTTACTTCAATTCCGACAACAGGAAAGACATTTTAATGAGAAACTATAGCACAGCTATAGATAAAATATGACTGACTGACTGAGTTTGGTTTTACTCCGCTTTTAGCAATATTCCAGCAACATCACGGCGGTGATAAAATATGATGAATCTATGAAAATACATGTAATATTCATAGTAGAAGCATGTTTTCAGTGGATAGAATATTTACAAATATTACACACAGGAGTTACGCTTAGACGGCTACAGTCTTAATGAATCTTTGAATTCCCACAAGACCTATCGCTCACTTTTCACTCCTTAAATTGTCATGACTGTATGGCCAAGTCATTAAGATGCTATCAATATCATTTATTAATTATTTGCCAAGTCTGTCAAAAATTGTAATGTATGCACACACATTGCCAAATCTTTTAACATCAAACAATATAGCTTTTAATCTGAAATATGCATTCAATGCCAATAGAAACTTTATATGTTGCTAGCACCACGTGCAAGTAGATCAAACTGTAATTGTACTATAGGCCTCAGGGCCAACACTGCTGAATAAAATCAATCTATTATTCGACCCTACTGTTGACAGGAATCTCATGAATAAAACTGTGCAATATCATCATTATTTGAATGCCTTCACAGACGCACATTCCGGAAAGATGTCTTGAAAAACATGAAGCTGCGTCTAATTTATAGATGAACATAATTTCCTCGATACTCATTAATCAGATGAACCTTCATTTAGTTCAGTTCACAAGTGACTGCAGAAAATGCACAAATCTTTTTAATGACCTCAAGGTCGGAAAACATGTATCATATTTCATAAGTGCATTATGGAACGCTGTAGTAGATAAACATAATTTCCTCGATACTCATTGATCAGATGAACCTCCATTTAGTTAAATTCACAAGTGACTATAGAAAATGCATAGATAGTTCTTTTCAATGTATTCAGGACGGAAAACATGTATTATATTTCATAATTGTATTATAGAACGCTGCAACGATTCGGCAGAGAAATACTATTGTGCCATTGTATTCCTTATATGAAAAACATAAGTGTACAACATTAGCATTCAGATATTGTTATAAAATATGTTTAAAATTCCAAACATTATCGTGTAAAATGACAAGAGTTGGTGTTGTGTTCGCTGTGACAAAAAGGTTTCGACATTCAAATATAACATTTAATCAAAGTGACTATGAAGTAGGCCTGCATATCACTCACAACAGAAATAGATACATAATAATGTTTTGTTTATTTTCCTACCCATCAGTTGCGAGAGCAATGTTTATGCTAATGAAGTTTTTGTCAATTTATATAGCATTTTTAAAGATGATTTGCTTCAATTAAAAAATTCGAAGAATGATAAAGAAATTAGGCCTATTGCTGAAATGATAAGTAAAAATATAATTAAAATCCATCTATGGGAAGGGATGCCAGACGGACATATCAAACCAAAATCGGATAATTACTCGGAGTATTGACTTTCAAAATAGCATATTAATTATCAATGATTTCAGTTTTCCATAAACTCACTACTAATTCTGAAGCGTTGCCGATAAACATGGAATCGTGTTCAGATGTTTTCAGAAATACACTCACCACGAGCACGCCAAAGGGCACTTTGCGCCCTATTGGTTAGTGTTTACAAAATCACGTTTCGTGAAGGCCTGTATTGAGACGCCAATTACATCACTCATATTTCATATTCAGTGGCGACAAATGCATCACTGAATTCTAAGGCTGGGACAGGTACTCGGGTACTCGAATCCGGGTCGGGTACAGCTGGAATCGAGTCCTATTTCTAGGAATCGAGTACCCGGAAAGGGAGAGAGCACTGTAATGACAAGGGCAGACAATAGCTTGTCCTTTTCGTTTTTGACATAACACACATTTACATCAGTGAGTGAGTGAGTGAGTGAGTGAGTGAGTGAGTGAGTGAGTGAGTGAGTGAGTGAGTGAGTGAGTGAGTGAGTGAGTGAGTGAGTGAGTGAGTGAGTGAGTGAGTGAGTGAGTGAGTGAGTGAGTGAGTGAGTGAGTGAGTGAGTGAGTGAGTGAGTGAGATTAGTTTTACGCAGCCCTAAGCAGTATTCCAGCTATATGGCGGCGGTCTGTAATAATCGAGTCTGGACCAGACAATCCAGTTATCAACAGTATGAGCATCGATCTGTGCAATTGGGAACCGATGACATGTGTCATCCCGTTAGTCGCCTCTTATGACAAGCATGGGTTACTGAAGATCAATATTCTAACCCGGAAATTCACGGGTTTTTACATCATTGGTATTTACATCTATGGAGCATAGTTTTAATGACTGTCATTTATCTGTGCATGTGCAGTGAGTAGTTAAGTTACAGTAGCAGCAGGAACGAAATGTTCATTGTTATAACGAGGAATGTAAGTAATGGTGTTACTCTCTATATTGGTTAAACAGACGTAAATCAAATACAGTAGAACACGGATATAACGAACACGGATATAGCGTACAAACGGATATAGCGAACAAATTTAAAAGTCCCGTCATCAGTCCTTTATAATATCATTAAAATTATACGTGAATAACGAACTCGTGAGTAGCGAATTAACGGCTATAGCGAACTGATTTACTACCCCCAAGCCCAACTAACGACGTGATTAGCGAACTCACTCAGTGTCAGCTCAGTGTCAGCTCAGCCACTTAGCGGTATACATCAACCTTGTTGGCGGCGAATCAACATTGTTCGATGGTCATTAACGTGTTTATCAAAACAAACATGTCGTGTTTAAAAGCTTGACTGGTATACAGGTCTTCAGTGCACTCTCGTCACTATGGCAGGCAAACGTAAAGCCATCACTTTTGACACCAAGCTTCAGATAATTCAGGCTGTAGATTCAGGTGTGAAATCTAAGACAAACATTGCTTACGACTTTGGCTAGAAGTGAGAACATTCCCTTAAATGGTCCCATGTTGCAGACTAAGGCAAATGAATTGGCATCCAAGTTAGGTCATTTAGATTTTAATTGCAGTAGTGCTTGGATTGACAGATTCAAACAGAGGCGTGGCATCGTATGTAAATCAAGTCACGGGGAAAGTGCATCTGTTAACCCCGACCTCGTCAATGATTGGCTGAAAACTCGCCTGCCTGGCTATCTTGAAGAGTACAAGCCTGATAACATTTTCAATGCTGACGAAACTGGCCTCTTCTACAAAATGAAACCAAACAGAACTCTTCACTTGAAATCTGAAAAATGCAGTGGTGGAAAAAATTCTAAAGAGAGAATAACATTGTTGGTAGCGGCAAACATGTCCGGGAGTGAAAAACTACAGTTGTTAGTGATGGGAAGGCAGCAATTGTGAGATTGTGACGTCAGTAGCCCAGCAGTGTGCCACGCCCACTGTCACACCCGCTCCCAACTCCGATAGTGAAGATGATGAACCTCGCGACGAAGCCATCCTTTGCTGAGGCCAATGCAGCATTAGAGACACTACGTCATCTACTTGTTTGTGAAGGTACAGATAGCTCTATCTTCGACTCTCTTGCAGATGTCTGTGATGCAGTCGACAAAATGAAGTCTGCAAGACGTGGTGTGCAGACCAAAATTGTGGACTTTGTTAAACGTAATTAAGTTATATACATGTATTGTTGAGATTGTTGTGATTGTTAAACATGTTCTAGCTAATGTCTGTGAATGATAAATTCAGAATTTTAATGTTATGTCAATGTACATGTACAAGAATAAAAATTTTTGTAGCCTCAGCGTATACGTGTCTCTACATCTCTACAATCCAAGATGGCGGTCAAATGTGAATAACGAACACCGGATATAGCGAACTAAATTTCGTGGTCCCTTGGAGTTCGTTATATCCGTGTTCTACTGTAGCTTGAGATCAGTTTTATTGTCTTATTACCACCTTTTCAAGTTTTCTATAATAGTCTCTGTCAAATCGTGATTGAATATTCAGAAAGTTGACCCGAATGTGTTTCTTACATTTCCGGGAACTCGATTCCGATTTGGGTAAACACATGCGGGTACTTGATTCCATTTTTGCCTACTCGTCCCAGCCCTACTGAATTCCTCATACATTTTAGAACCTAATTACAACTGGTCTTTGTCACCAATACCAAGTGTCTAGATAAGCTGAAACGAAAGATATTGGGGGTAGAAACAAATGCTGTGCTCGAAAGACAACACCTGTTTGAAATGTAAACAAAGAAAATTTCAGACTTTATATTGTGTAGCATTTTATACGTGTTTGATTCTTTGAAAGTGTTTGTTTGAATAATATTTACAGAAGAAATTTACACATTTAGTGTAGGAAAACATATATAAACCTTTACACAAGTGTTAAAAGATGAAACGTAGGCATCATGTTCTTGTACAACATGTATTTTAGTTCCTATGAAGTGCATAGTTACAGTTTCGTATATAATTATATAACTCTTTGTCAGAATAATTTCCAGTATCGAAGTCCAGTCCACAATACACCCTATCCTTTCTTGGCCTCATGAAAGCAGTGTTAGCCATGAACGCCATTTGAGAGTTAACAACACTGTTAGACCGCCTCCATGGTGTAGTGGTTAGAGTGTCCGCCCGGACAGTGGAAGGTCCCGGGTTCGTTCCCCGACCGCGTCATACCAAATGACGTTAAAATATGGTACTTGTTGGTCCCTGCCTGGCGCTCGCCATTAATGGGTACAACAAGGACTGGTCGGCTCGGAGTCAGTATAATGTGTCTGAGTGGGGTATTCATGCTTCACTGCGGCATGGTATCTCAGTGGGCTAGCACTATGAAACCAGCTTAAGTCTGGGCTAGTACAAGCAGCTACACATACACATACACATACACCCGCATGCACGTCGTCATATGAGCGAAATATTCTCAAGCACGACGTTAAACCCAATTTCACCTCACCTTACCTAACCACACTGTTAAAAAGTTAGTGGCGGTCCTTAGGTGTGTTAACTTTACGTCACGTTAACAACCTGTTTAAAGTTAACAGAGTTATGAACAACAAGATAACCCTCTGTTATTAGTTAACAGTCGGATAAATGTACTTAACGGCTGGTTAAAAGATAACCAAGTTTTGAACAACCGGGCCCTGCAAGCATATGCTCACAGCTTGACACCATAAAACATTTTTTCTCCATTTGTATGTTCTCCCATTCCCACCCAAGACTCTCCCCACTCTCACCCCATCGTCCCCACCCAAGCTCTCCCCACTCTCACCCCATCGTCCTGTCGGACCCCTTGTCCTCTGTTGACGTCATAGTGCCTGACTCTGGGGGACGTCCTTGTCCTAGAAGCACGCACCTCAATCAAACCATGACTTCAACACAGCAGGCATCCCCTGAAATAGTTCCACAGTGGAGGTAATCACTGCAGTGCAGGTAGCAATGGAAATCAATAAGATCAGAAATAAACAGCACAACAGGGGGCTGACAGATTTATTGACGGGATAATGACTGATAAAGATAGTCCCACTGACTGGCTGTTGGGAGATTGAAACAGTTTGTGGAGCAACCAGTGGCATAGAAAGAAACACTTTCACGTTATTATCTTAATCATGATCAAAAGTTATTTTAGCTAACATAATAACCAGGCAAATACTGTCCTGACAATCAGGTTGGTATTATACCACACAGGACAATGGCATGGCAGTACAATGTCTGCCATCAAATGTAATTTGCAATACAATACATGAGTTCATTTATGTTATGAGACAAAAAATATTAAGGCAAATAAGAAGCTACTTCATCTTACACATCTCACAGTCCAAAAGAGGTTATGAAATAGCACAGGACATGGGCAAGAATAGGTCTATAACACCCTGTCATTGGTAGTATGAGGCAATTACACTAGATTGGTTGGCCAGGTTCAGTTGTCCACTAGCCTTGAGGGGGACATGGACCGATATACTCTACATGTTAGTTATGTTTCCATGAAGGGACATCACCCAAGGGATCAGTGGACAATGAGCTTATCTTACTGAACACCTAATTATATTGTAGGCGTGCATGCTTTGTTCCCAATTTGTAAGATTACCACAGTTAGACATTTATAGCTTATATCAACAGTAAACAAACTTAGAGTTAATCCTTCTGGGTCTACTTCATTGGGAAAGCATCTTCAAAATATCCAGAGCATCTTGCAAAATTTACATATATTCAATGCAGCAATTTCTCTTCACTCAAAACAAAATGGTAAAAAAATGGGTATATTAAAGTTTGAACTTTCCTTATTTTGTTGTAAAAATGGGGGTGTTTTTAAGTTTAAACTTTCTTAATTTCAGAGTATTTTTAGCGCTGTTTTCTTACAATACTATTGTGGAATAATGTAAAATTAATCATAAAAGTCCATTCCTCTTTATTGGACCAGTAATCAGTGAATTACATGTCAGCCTGAGCAAAGCATCAAATTAGTTTGAACTACAGCTAAACTAACATGAACTTAAATTTGCTTGTCCAAGAGTGAACAAATAAATATTGCTTAAGCTGTTCCCCGTTTTTCAAACTATTCACAGCGGCTGCCAGTCTAAGGCAAGTCAGTAGTGGGAAAGTTGAGTTGCTGGGGATCAAGACTAACCCATATAAATAAATATATCTCCCTTAGATTATGTTTATTGTCAAAGTGATCTTCAGCTTCAACAGTTTGAAAAAAGACTTGTCTTTAATATTTTTCTTTATTTCCACTTTTCATAATCCAGGCATCTGTTAACCAACAAACTAAAATGTAAGGCCTTACACAAGAATCATGGGAGTCAAAGTGTGTGAAGAACAATACTGAAATGCACACAACAATTCCCCAGCCTACCCAGTTACCTAGACTTCAAGACAAGGGTGTAGTTTCCTGTGCAATATTGATGATCATCTGGCTCTTATTCCCTGACACTCCACCTACACCAGGGGCCACCACATCAAACACACATACCCCACATACAGTTAATTAGTTCTCAAGCCACAACACTTCCCACATGAAATCAATGAACCACTTCTAACATTCAACTGACAGCTTCATCAAGCCATTGTTTGAGGTGTAAGTATCTTTAAATATTTACCCACAATTTAGCCAAGTCAGATATCAGTTACTGTGGGCAGAATGCCATGAATAAGGAAAATATACTGACTCATCACAACGTCAAAGGATTATTAAAGAATGGCTCTTGGAGATATTTTTTTTCGTAGTAATTATGAAAACTCAACAGCAAAACTCTTCAGTTGATAAATTGTTAAGTGAGAGAGTGAGTATGGTTTTATCCTGCTTTTAGCAATATTCCAGCAATATCATGGTGGGGGACACCAGAAATGGGCCACCGCCCCCAAATTTCTAAGGATTTTGCTCAACTTTTTTTCTGGCATGTTTGGATTTAGATACCAGCAAGCATTGTCACTAAGGTGACATAATCCCCCGCCGCAAATTATCAAATCAAACTGATAAAGTAATGAAAGTTAAAGATGAAAATTAAATGTCAACAAAAACATGACCAGTCAACCTCTCTTGATATCTTGCTCTTTTGTTGTTCAAACAAACACACATATTTTCAAGACTAAATTTGACCTTGACATGAATGTCATAGTGTATGAAATATGCAAAACTAGTACTAAAGAAATTGCTTATTGAAAAACATTCAAGGGAAGTCTTGAAAGTCTATGAAGAAAATCCAGTGAACCGTTCTTAAAATATCTTGCTGACAATTCAGGTTAACATGCTGAAATCTTCATGGTGTCGTCATGACCCTAAAAATTATGTGAAGGTCACCAAAATTGACTGGGCCCTGGGCCTTGCCTAGATGAAACTTGGTGTCAATTATGAAGAAAATCCAGTCAATATTTTTTGCTATATCTTGCTGACTATCTTAACATGCAATTTAACATGCTGAAATCTTCAAAGTGTCTCTGTGACCTTGAAAATTAAGTGAAGGTCACCAAAATCAACTGGGCCCTGCGCCTTTCCTTGATGAAGCTTGGTGTCAAATATGAAGGAACTCCAGTGAATGGTTCTTGAGGTATCTCGCTGACAAGCATAACTTGCAGGTTAATATGCTGAAATCTTCAAAGTGTCTCTGTGACCTTGAAAATTAAGTGAAGGTCACCAAAATTGACTGGGCCCTGCGCCTTTCCTAGATAAAGCTTGGTATTGAATATGAAGAAAATCCTGTAAACGGTTCTTGAGATAGCTTAACATGCAGGTAAAACGTTAAAGTCCCCTTGTGACCTTAAAATGCAGGTCAAGGTCATCAAACCTGACTTGGGCCTTTCTTATACTGTGATGAACCTAGGTACCAAATATGAAAAGAATCTAGTGAACGGTTCTTAAGATATTTCAATTCGTACGTATGTACGTACGGATGTACGGATGTACAGAAGTACATCTACGGACGGACGGGAGCCTAATACTATATCCCCCGCTTCGCACTAAACGTGCGGCGGGGGATAACAAAATAGATCTACTACAACATGGATCCTGAAAAACCTAAGTACCAAAATAACGCTTTGTTGCACAAAAAACTTAATCTTGCATGTCTTGTATACACGTACATCAGGTGCATAGCATGCAAGTTTTCTTTAAAAAATTACTTTTTCCATTGTTTATTATCACTACCCAGTATGTTGTCAGGCAAGCCATTCAAGGCCGTGTCTACCAGCACTATCAAGTTCAATACTACAACAAACAAACAGGTTGTCCATGTTGAGTGGATAACCACGATAACATTCAACACACTCTGATAATCTACACCAGTTGAGATTCAGGTTCACCCAACCTTCCTGATAAATCAATAATCTTAAGTATGTAGAAGTCTGTGAAGTAGTAGTACTACAGATTTAGATGGTCTCTGGGTCAGAGAGGCATGCCGGCCCCCTGCTTGGCCACACACACCAGGACACACACCACATCAGGACACACACTACACAGGGACACACACCTTTACAATGCACAGGGACCACTTGACTGATCTCAGAGGAGTATATCTGTGATCACTACCGACCCTGCCTTTGACAAACCCACACTGATCCTTCAAATATGTTCATTGTAGTTGTAGTATACTACTCGGGGTAAATGATAGCATGTGGAGATCTGCAGATACCAGATAAATATAGCAGTTTGGGGTAACACTGATTGTACAAATGTGATGGTAAAAAATGACTTTGTATGCCTGTCATTACCATGAGTTTGATGAGGGTCACTTATACAGTCTGTTTGTCTCCACAGGAGAACAATGAATTGCAAAGTAACGCAGGATCTCAAATAGTCTTTTAAATGTCAATACAACACAAGGCCCTTATTTTGACATGGAGTTATTTTGCAATTCATAGGTACAAGATTGAGTGAGTGAGTTTAGTTTTACGCCGCACTCAGCAATATTCCAGCTATATGGCGGCGGTCTGTAAATAATCGGATGCGGACCAGACAATCCAGTGATCAACAGCATGAGCATCGATCTACACAATTTGGAATATGATGACGTAAACCCAGGCAGCGAGCCTGGCCACCCGATCCCATTAGTCACCTCTTACGCATAGGGACAAGAACACTATGAAATCAGTCTTGCATTGTTCAGTCCAAATCCTGTGTTACTTGCATGTCCATTGGAGTCAGACTAAGGCCATCCATGTTCTTTGCGTGCATGTCATCCCCAGCATGTATCAGTATATGGTCTCTGGTGTAAGCAAGAGACAGGCAGGCAAAAGAAAAACTAGAAAAATACCTTCTTAACAAATAATTGTGTAAGGGTCCATATCAACACATTTAGATATTATCTGGTGAATTCAAGGGGCTTAAGTTATTGTGTGTCAATTTTGATAAAAATTACAAAATGCTTTCCATATTCATAAGGCATAGCTGCTGAAAAAAACTGTGTCCATTGTAAGATTTTGACTATAACTAGAGACTCTGCCAATGAATCACTGTCAAATAATGATGTTACTATGATGCTACATAAAAAAGTACATTGAATGTTGTAACGTTGATCAAACAGCTATTAAGCATGAATCATGAATCAATTCTACATCTTCATAGAAGGATTATGGTTGATTGTACCTTAAACGTGTGTATTGCGGACACCTATGGCTAAGCACGCTGGGATAACATTTGACATAAATATCCGACAAAGTTGACTATTGGAAAGTCCCTCTTGCCATACAGTCCTTTGGAGAGTTTATGTACAGATCTAAGTAATAAAACACATGGGGGTCCCACTATAGCCACCATTACTCCAGGTTCACTTGGGTAAATCAGTTGAAAAGAACTGGCTACTTGACTGTGATTAAAGATCACCTGAAGCTTAAGTTTAACCTTCCTGGCCAACATGCCTTATTTTCACTCACATTTAACATGCTGCCATATAACTGGAATATTGCTGAGTGCGGTGTAAAACTAAACCCACTCACTCACATTTAACATCCAAGAAGTCATTTTCTGAAATATATGAACAAAGTCCCCTCTAGTCTGTCATACAGACCCTGAAACAAACATATCCAAGTCTAATTATGTGGCAAGTCTGTACCAATCAGTGTCTGTACCAATCTGCTGAATTCACAAGCTAGCACAGTGCTTGTAATTATCAGCTTATCACTATCGGTCACTTGTGTTTAATAATAACTCACGGGGAGTTCCCCCCCACCACACACACACACACACACTCCCCAAGACCCCACACTGAAAATGAAGAAAGTCTCAGGGTTCCTTTTCGTAATATTTTTTTTTATATTATGAACAGTCTTATCTGTAAAATATGTTCATTTCAGAGACTAGTTGTTGGTCAAAGTCCCTTCATACCTGCATTAATATTAATAAAACAGGGACCCGTGAAGGTCCGGGATAGATTTGGCCTTCAATAACCCAAGCTTGTCGTAAGAGGCGACTAACAGGATCGGGTGGTCAGGCTCGCTGGCTTGGTTGACACATGTCATCGGTTCCCCATTGCGCACATTGATGCTCATGCTGTTGATTGTTGGATTGTCTGGTCCAGACTCGATTATTACAGACCGCCGTCATATAGCTGGAATATTGCTTAGGGCAGCGTTAAACTAATCTCACTCACTCATTCACTCATATCATTTTCATATCATTAATCACTCAACAAAACAGGATGATTCGGAAAAGCCACCCCGAATTTCAACAATGCATGTCAAATATTTGCTGGTGACAGCCATTTCTCATTACGAGTAAAAGGAAACTCAACATGTTTTCTAGTGTACATCTTGTTGTTCATTCCTTGATCAGTGTACACATCTCACAGGTAGACTTAGCAATTTTATGAAGCGCTGCGATATCTTCACTTTACAACTGGTCTTCAAATAAATTCATGACATAGTTTGAGTTTCTTTGCTTAGGAAACAGATATTGAAAAAATGAAGACAAAGAAAGATCAAGCTCATCTGATTTTTTCTGAGTGTACAATGGTGATAGTATTTTTTTGTCACATCAAGGCACAAATTTCCCAGTTGGACTAAAAATTCATGAGAACAGGAGATGGTAAACACAGAATGTGGACACCCAAAGAAACACAGTCCTACAGTTTCACCATTATTAAACATATACAAAATCAACTATTACATGTATTGCTAGTGCTGGGAATTGATCTCAAAGCCATGATTGATCACTGGATAATTCCAAACTACTGATCATCAAAATTCATCAGTTCTTGCCAGTGTCCTGTTTTACAAAATAGAGTTCAGCTAAATGAGACCCAATTGACGAAAAGAAACATAAATATTCCGTTAAACTCTTAATGTTTTAAAAATGACATTGGCTTCACATTTTTCAGCCAGTACTTAACTACTAAGCAATTGAAAATCTCTCTCAGGAAACAAAACAGAATCAGAATTTCAGAGACTTGCAAAACAGCTTGTGTCCGATTTATCAAAATGTATTATCAACTTGTTGTTTTAACCTTCTGATCTTCGATTATTTCATTTAACTATAACACAACTACCCATTACCATCAAAGTTACATCAGAATCTGTTTATCGCCCATGTTACATTCAACATGTCCAATGATTAACACAATACAAAGCAGAATAGATAACTTTCACCTTTATGTAACATGTTTACACTCAACCATTACCATACCTGTTATGTCAGAATCTGCTTATCCTTATGTTTGCATTAGAACTTTCCAGCTGTTAATAATGATAACTGCTAACCTCTTCCACTATTTCCGATCAACAATCACCAGGCCTGTGTGAAATCCTCTTACCATGTGCATTATTCAACATGTTCAATAGTAGTTGATATTACAGGAAGAATACCTGAAGAAACACATCAGCACTATTCACCTCAAGTCATGTAAACAAGCTTTGTTAATTGCTCCACGCTTTTATCCCATGCAATGACCTTTGGTTTACCTGGTCAGTCCAGGTGAATTGGGAAGAGCTATTTTTATGAAATAATTTAATGGCTAATGCTTCTTCATAAATCTTTAACGAATACAGGACATAACATTCACAGATAAAAAGTTTCAGTTTCAACATGTTCAAAATCAACAGTTTCCCGAATAGAGCTATATGTGATTTCATCTGAATGCAGTCACTGCTTACCTAACCTATTAACAAATACTCTGATCTCATGGTCAAGTATTATTATTTAGATGAATTTTGATGATGATGATGATGAAAGTGAGATTGTGAGAAATGCAAAAACAACCTCTTAAGACTCCTACATGAATCATGAAACTTCATACACAACCTTCTCATTACAAATATAATTGATTTAGTGCATGAAAAATCCAAAGGAAAATAGATAGTATTCGAACAACAACTGGATGTGTGCAACATCTGTGAATACAGACCTAATAAAATCCATTCCTTTGCATAATAATGAAAACTAGCAATAGAAAAAGAAATTATGCGCATTAGTTCATGATCAAATTATTTCAGTGAATGTTGAAACCAAATAAATATACAGAAAATATTCATAAATGCTTTCATAAACTAAAGCCTGTTATAAAGTGTGCCACTGCAGGCAATATTTACTAAACAAATATTGAAAACGTTCAAATTCACTGGGCTTATTCAACGACTTTGTATGTAGAGGCGATTGATCACTGAGAGGAGCTCATGCATACTGGATGACCCACAAATTCAAATGGCATTATTTTGTCGGTGTATCTAGCAAACAAAATTATCACAAATTATGTCATAGGGGAATTGTAACCTGTTTGAAATGTTTGTGGTACTGTGTTCTAAAGGTAGACAACATAAGTAAGAATTTATAAAGTGTGTAACATAGTAAATAAGTGAAATATAGTTTATACATCAACATGTTGAATAATTGCATGCATGTTGAGATGTAAGGCATGCTTAGAAGTACTACATAAAATGTTTCTACTGTTTTGGTTAATTAGAAGCACCATTTTAGCCTCACAATCAGTAACTGTTTTCAGTGATTGCATTTTCACCAGTAGAAATTTGTGACATTTTTTTAGGCTGAGGTGTCATTTCAGCCTACACCTTTTCAAATGTCTAGATGAATTATGAAAATATTGGCTAAACATCTTTTGTGTTTCCCTTTTGGGTGGAAAAAATGCACGAGGAGACTGTTTGGTAATCGTGGGACATATCAAGTTAGAAAATAATGCAACTCAAATTAAAAAAACATATTTGGTTTAAAGGATGCTGTGAAAACTCCACAGAACTGACCCTGTTAATCAGGAATCTCTGCTTACTGGACGATAGATCTCGATCTGAACGACTGTATGTATCCAAAGAAATATGACCCTATTGACAAGATTTCTTAATCTGGAAATCTGATTTTCAAACAGAACTTAGATATCACTAAATGGACCCACTAAATATTTAAATTACAGGCCGTTTTTAACACACATCGAACATCTATTAGAGGCAATGGTTCAGTATTAGCCGAAGCATCGCTCGTCCTTTCCTAACAATCAAATTTAGTCAAACAAGACAGAGCATTTATGAACAAGTATGTTTTATTTGAATTGATCAAGAGCTTTTTGCAGCTGGCAAGTGACCAAAGTCACTCTACCTCACCTGTCTACAACAGCAGACTCCAGAACTGTCAACTGTCCAGGAGTGTTGTGTGTCGTTCAGTCGACAAATAAACATTATTGTGCATTATTTCTTAATATCTGCATCAATTACACGGTTAACAGAAAGAATATGACTTACAGAGATATTGCTGATAGGGGTTGTATTCTCTAAAACCTTCTTGACTACGCAGACGAGCATGTAAACAGCTCCACACGACTGTAGAGGGCGCAATAAACTTGGATTTGTCTCTATTAGTTTAGACAAGCGAATTGACATGTCGCAAGGTAGAGAGAATCCCCGTTTACTGTGACTAAGAATTAAGAGTTACCTCCCCTTAGCCGGTGAGTTGGCAGTCTAGACTTGCTTAGAGCCAAATCTACTCCACCAAAAGAACATGTACATGTTTCATATTTACATTGTATTGCTGCTAAAAATTTAGAATTTCAGTTTCGAAATTTAAAAATATACACTGAGGCTGTTTAGGAATATAATCACAATTGTAGTGCCTTTAGCCAGATAACTTGTCTGTAAACCTGTTGTTTTTTGGTCAATGGACGGGTGCACAGACCATACACCTTGGGCATCAAGAGTATGTTGAAGGGAGGTGTGTGCGTGTGTGTGCATGTATGTGTGTGTGTGTGTGTGTGTGTGTTGGGGGGTGCAGAATGGCCATAACCTGAGTGTCTTTTGATAATTCCTTTCTCTCTCATTCATCAAGAAAGAATATTTCCAAATCATTTTTTAGATAACTAGCACTCATTACATCCAGGATGTACCTATTAGGTTCGCTATCAATACTTGCCGCCAATTATCGAGACACACGTTTATTTCTTGGTTATATGTATTGTTTGATATCTGTTGGAGATATTACAACTATATGATATGACAAAACATTATTTCATGAGGAATGATGAACAATATGTCACAAGGCAGCGTTATTATTGTCTGCACAACAATGTTTCGCCTGTTATGTTTTGTACCTGTACAGTCAGTGAGGGCAGTGTGTGCAATGGTCTGGAGAGCCAACTCTTGAAGCTCTGGAATTTTCTCCTTCTTTTTAGTGAGTGTATAAGGGGGGAGTTGTTGCTTCTCATCTCACATATCATGTTTCCGTCCAATTTTGATAAATAGCCTGGATCCACTGACTAATTTAATCAGCCCAGCGACAACAGCTGCAGTGGACTGTTCGGATAGTTATACATGGAACATTTTTACCACAGACACTGTATGATTTATGTATTATAATCAAAACCAGATAACCACTAGAAGTAAGGTAAGTAAGTAATTTATGTAGCCAATTATTATTGCATCTATTTACATTTCAAGTGACGATTAAGTTAATGTGCGCCAATCCAAATGCACTTGTACAAAAGAAAAAGAAATCTTATGATGCGCTACCTTCCACTTAACACGGCTTCTCAAAGTGCTAGCAGTACAAATATAACAACAGTAGGTCTGAGAAGTTAGATTGTCCCAAAAAATTGTTTTTAACAATCGACTCAACCTTAAAATAACTGGGATTACAACTGGAAAAGCATTTAATCTTGCAGCAGTTTCTACAGAGGTTCTGTGTGGCGTATGTATGCATTTGTTTCCTCCAGAACGCAAACCGTTCTCAAAGTATTGGGGAGAAATACCATCATCGTATGGGAAACTTACAAGTTCTGTAGTCGATATTGAACCCATAAAAAAAACTTAAGTATGAAATATGTTTTATCACTATCAGTGTCACAGCGTAACATTTTCCTTCAAAAGAGGTTGATTTGAGATAAATGGAGTTTAACAACATGCATGCCCGCGTGTGTCTCTGCTTGCACTAGCCCTGACGTAACCTAGGCTTTATAGTTTCTCTGTGAAATGAACTAATCTCTGAAGCAATAAATCCTAATAATGAAGTTATGTCTCTTTCATTCTGTTTAACATCGTACCCAGCACTTATCCGACACCGTGATGTCATTCTGTAAATGATCGAGTCTGGAACAGACAGTCCAGTGACTTACACCATGAGCATCCATCTACGCAGTTGGAATGCAATGGTATGCATCATCCCAATCAGCGAGGCTTACCACTCTCTCGGGGATGTCGACCCTTACAACAAGCATGGGTTGCTGAAGATCAGTTTAACATGTAGATTTTCGTAAACTTCCGAAAAAGGATGTTCCCGGATCCAAGGGGTCCGGCCTAGCAAAGTTTTACTGTACCCAGTAATCTAGGCGGTGGATGGCCTAGTGGTTAAAGTGTCTGCTCGTCATGCCGAAGACCCGGGTTCGATTCCCCACATTGGTACAATGGGTACAATGTGTGAAGCCCATTTCTCGTGTCCCCCGCTGTGATATTGCTGGAATATTGCTAAAAGCGACGTAAAACTGAACTCACTAACTGACTCACCCTGTACTCTGATGTGTTCATTTACGAGCCACTATCGGGTTAGTGCATTCATAACCAAGTTAGCGGACCTGACCCAGTGATCCATAACGTCGCTTCTTATACAACGAGCACTGGTTGTAGGAGACACTTTCTAGCTCGAGTGACATCGTGGTCGTGTTGCTTATATACAGCAGATATATGTGTGGAACGTTTAAGCCACAGATACTCACACAAACCAAGGTTTTTTTTAAAAACAAATGTTTTATTTAATGTGGCCTGACAATGAATGTTCATGGGTCCAGGGATACAGTCTCGGTCCCACGGGGCACTGGCTGAGAATGGTTCCCAGGAATCAACGCTGGTCGTAAGAGGCAGGTCAATTCATACTGTGATCATGGTCCGGTGACTGGTCTTAAAGTCTTCTATTTTCTATATTATCTTTAAATTTATTAATGTCGAATACAGCAAGGGTACAGTGGCGATACGGCAATACAGTATTGTATCGCGTCACGAAGCACACGGCACAATACATCGATTTACAACACTTGTATCGCAATACATCCAATACATTACACAGCAAATTATATTGATGTAGAAACATGGGAACAGTATCAGAAGCTGTTCAAGAACCAGTCTATGCCGATTCTCTAGTACTTCCTGGTTGGCTATTAATAGCAAATCTTCATACTGACCCAGGCTTATACGTATATCCATCCCTTCAATACCCCATCTTCGCTGTCTTAGATTTAAAATCAAATGAATCAGGACTGTGAGTATACCTGCAGAAAGGTTGATAATATGACTATTTGAAATATATCGTTGGGTTCTTCATACGACTAGTAGCAAAGATAAAGATAGAACTGAAACATGTTTGAGGAAAATTCGTGTTTGTGTCATTATTATGTGGGATTCTTGTATATACCTATATATACTCAACAAAACGTTAAGGACCACCCCAATATTCAATATTTAAGTATTATATGGATCATAACATGAACTATTTAATACTTTATATTGAAAATTGGGGTGGTCCTTAACTTTCTTTGCTGAGTATATATAAATCTATTGCTACCTGATTCAGAACAAATGTTTGATCTGTATGATCATCAAACTACTTGAAGCGTCATGATATCTCCTTCTTTGCACCTGTCACCGAATGGTGAAATCTGGCTAAGCGAGTCTGCTTGATGACGCTAAAATAGGGTAAGTGTACCAAAATCGAGCAGACGCTGTTAGTGTCTCGTCGACGGCCGCATCGTTATCGGAAGGACAGGTATTTTCAGACGGTGCGCAGTATTAATTATCAGGTGTCAGTTTACAATAATTATTTAGATGGTGCATCATGTATTATCAGGTGTAAAAACAATGTCAGTTTTAGCAGACCCCCACGGTCACCGAACAGGATATGGTAATCTGTTTGGCTCGATACGACATTTAAAGATAACGTTATACCGAGGATATTTCGTGTGTTTCTAATGCTGTTGTGTAGCACAGTGCATTTCCTCATCACGCTGAAGTACACATGTCATCACGATGTGGAGGGAATCCCTAATAGAACTTATGTTATAGGTTATGTAATAGGTTATGACGGCCCGGTTTATACAGATATGGTCTGGATTTATGACGTTGTGGATTTCATTTCATTCACGATATGACCAGGTCAGAGAAATGTTCAATGACCAGTGTGTTAATAATATTAGTGAAGTATGCTGCATGTGTGTATGATGTTTACATGTACAATCAATAAAGTACTATTACAACTTTATCATTAAACTAACCCAAATTGGGGAAAGGGAATCCGGATTTGCAAGACTTTACTTATAACGAATTACAACTTAGTTGATATGTGTTTATTTCGTAAAGGGGCCACAGGCCCATGATACAGATATTGTGGTACATATATGTGTTGTAGACAGAAAGCTTAAAAATGATGGCTCGCAATTATAATAGATGTATTTATACATGAGTAACAGCTTTTACAAAATAAATGCATTGAAATTGTTTATCTAAGAGGGACATCTTTAAAGAACATTTGTCTTTTCTTGGCTGCTAAAAAAAGAAATTTACAGAGATTTCTCAAGAGTACACCTTTTGAGAGAAATAATGCTGGCATCTTATCCGAAGTTGGATATTCCCAATAATATTTTGGAAGAAGTGTATATCTTAAGTTATGATAAAATGGGCACGTTAAACAAAAACGGTACTCGGATTCAATGTTTGGGACAATACAGAATGGACCTAATCTTTCTGATCTGGGAATATTCCACCTCCTGCCCAATTCAATTAATAACTCATGATTTGAACGACAAAATCTGATGAAATCTGCAATGATTACAACTTAGTAAAAACTGGGTCTTTAGTCCCAGACCGCATTGCCATTCTTTCATTCATTCTGGACTAGGGGCGGTGGGGTAGCCTAGTGGTTAAAGCGTTCGCTCGTCACGCCGAAGACCAGGGTTCGATTCCCCTCATGGGTACAATGTGTGAAACACATTTCCGGTGTCCCCCGCTGTGATATTACTGGAATATTGCTAAAAAGCGGTGTAAAACTAAACTCACTCACTCATTCTGGATTGATCTGTTTTTTGTGTTTTCGCAGATATCCCTGTGTTTTTCTTTAACGTCGCATATTCCACCTATGTATGTCGGCCTGTAGATTTAGGATTGGACGAACCTATGGAATTTGAGTGTGTATACCCAACCTGACCTACATAGCCATTTAGTCGCATCGTTCGACGTTATGGATGTAACCCGGAATTCTGGCCGGAGTTATTGTACACGTGTTTGTGAAAATAACTTTAAAATGGACAGGATATATTGGAGGGTATGGGGTACAAAACTGAACGTTTTTTGTGAAATATTATCAGACTTTTAGGTTATGGTAAATGTGATGACACCTAACATTTTAAGGACTATCAAGAGTAATAGATGCAATTCGACAAAAAAGAACATGCGATGGGTGTACTTGACAATGAAGAACGTAAGCTGTGTAGGGTCAGAAAGACATAGAAAGAAATATCAGATGCTGCAAACAATGTCCATACATACATGTCTACATATCAGAAACACTTTGAAATCGCAACATTTACCTGTAGATACTGAAACCACAAATATGTGATCCTTAAAATGTGATTTTTTAAAGTGTATATTTAAAGTTACAAGATCGCTTTGAGGTCATCAGTTACGAAGCACAAGGACTACTATCAGCTTCTTAATGTTCCAGGTTTGACAAAGGTAATCACAGAAATGTCTGTCAAAGAGCCCTGAACCAAAACAAATGACAACAGCTATATTGTATAAAGTATAAAATGTACAAATATCTCTATGTAACATACTGTGTTGTTTTGTGTCTACCATAGGGTTACTTTACTTTAGTGAGTGAGTGAGTTGAGTTTCACGCCACACTCAGCAATATTCTAGCTTTATGGCGGCGGTCTGTAAATAATCGAGTCTGCTCCAGACAATCCAGTGATCAACAGTATGAGCATCGATCTTCGCAATTGGGAACCGATGGCATGTGTCAACCAAGTCAGTGAGCCTGACCACCTGATCCCGTTAGTCGCCTCTTACGACAAGCAGGGGTCACTGAAGATCAATATTCTAACCCGGACCTTCACGGGTATACTTTACTTAAGACACGCATTGATGTTTTTCGCCACAGTTTATTCACTCACAGTATATTCAGTTCAGTGATGTTATTCTTGCTTCCAAATACTGCGGAAACTGTAACCTGTGCGTCTGAGTCAGCGCGTCACGGCCGTCCAGTTGAACGAACCAACCACACCTGACAAACTGATGGTCTTGATTCATCGCGCCCCTTTGTTCAAAATTGCCTTCAAGCTTAACTACGACAATTTATTTTCACTGGATCTTTCTGAACCAAGCCTATACCACATTCAACGCCCAGCCCCTAAAAGGGTCATTGAAACCCTTCAAAGTTTCTCGAGAGAATGATTCACTTGTAAAATAGTGTATGGGTGTAATTTATGCTCCTTGACAAAAGGATATGCATACCTAGCTTGCCTCGATACCCTTCTAGGATACGGAACAGTGCAGTTGAACCAAACGTGAAGTTTGTTAACGTGAAAAGAGGATGTAACACTTCTTTCATGAATGAAATCAAGTTCCCTTGTGTATACGTCATCACGATTTTTAAATTACCAAGTACGAGTCACAGCGAGGTGTTTTCAAGGTATTACCGTGTTGACGTCACGAACCCCTCACGTCATAGTGGACTGTTGAAACACGCGTTTCTATCCGGGAACCAAAACTATTTTTACTAAATTTCTTACAAATTTCATAATCTCCGAGTCAGGCATCTAATATCCTATTTTCCCAATATTTTGGTTGACATGGAATCACACTTTTCAGGGATTCCCCACACTGCGGCATAGATATGACTTACTATAACATCACTGCCGCAGGGTATTCGTTCGTTCGTTCATTTTTTCACGCTTGTTGTTCGATGACAGCATGTCAGGGCCGTAGTTAACTTTTCTTAATAGGGTGGAAGCAATTAACAAATTGGATAGACATTGAAACTGGCACACAATTAGAAGTGAACGTAAAACACATTTTTTGGAAATACAGAAAGAAGAAACAACGTCTCAAATATAAATTTTAATGTCCACAAAACAATTCATCTATGCAAACGGATGTTTAAAATCTATCCCAACCATTAACAGACTAAAGCGCCATCTACATACAGTATCTTATATGGGGTAACTGAATGTGCAGCATACTCAAGATGTCAATACACGAGTTTTGGGTCTTTTTGGTCTTCATGCCATAATCTCTTCATATGATAAATTTGAGCTACTCATCAATCCTTGGCTGCCATGTGAACTCCCCTTAACATTAAAGAAAATACTTAATATTCTGTTTTCATTCGACATTCGCCAAATGTACAAATGAAAATATATCATATACTTACTTAATACTACCCGAGAAGCTCCAGAAGATCTAGGGTGTCCGGGGGCAAGCTCCCCCAGGAAGAGTTTTAAATTAGATGCTCCCAGATACAATTTCCTGTTTTCTGAAGGCAAAATGACTCCATTTACGTAATCTCCAATTTTGTATAAAATATTATTTTTTCCTGCTACGTTTGACCAAAACTTTTCATGTTTTTAAAAAAAGTTTCTTTGTTCAAAATTGTAGCATCCGTACATAATGTTCAGAACTAAACCCCGCCGTGATGTTGCTGGAATATTGCTAAAAGCGGCGTAAACCCAAACTCAGTCAGTCAGAACTAAACTAAATATGCCTAGTTCTAAGATGCTTCGGTGAAAGATCAAAGGCGCCGACAGTACTTTATCAGACGATAATGTGCGCTTTTTGCAATACGTCACAATGTATTGGCGTCACTGCGCCATTCTAGTCTGCCCCCTCGTAATCGAACAATTTTGCATTACGTCACAATGTAAGCGACGTCACGATGCATGTCAGTTGTCATCGCCTCGTACAGCCCCCTACAGTAAACTACTCCGTTGCATCCCGTTTCTTGGTTTGCAGTTGCTTCTCACAGCTAACATTTGGTGGAAATATTACGTTTATGATTTACGACGGTTAACATGTCTCAATTCGACTCACAAGTTTTCAGCGACACGGTAACGTTTGCAATGTTTACATTCCCACAATGCAATCGTGGAATGTCGCTTGACAAGTCAGCTTTAATACTTTCTAACGATAACTACGAGTAATGATAAAGGACTGTCGGCGCCTTTGATCTTTCACCGAAGCATCTTAGAAGTATTAATATACAATAGTTGTATCATTAAATTCAGTTGACAGTCCAGAAATTGCATGTGGAATTTACATCATATACATGATGTCTTCAGGTTTGTTCAATATTTTGGAGACATGTGGATTGAATGCAATCCTATTCCTAATTAAGTCTTTTGTTCGTTAACATGTCTAGGTTCCGGGTAGTCTATGTCATTCACGCACTCACTCACTCATGTAAATCTAAAGAAAAGCGAAAAAGAGCGACCGATAATGAACGTTTTACATGAAAAGTAGGATTCTTTAAATTGATAGATGCCATGTTTGAGCTTATGATACAGAGATAATCAATTTTATGAAGTCCTCGCTTCATAGGTTGCTGTCAATCATCGGCATTTTCGTTTGGGTTTGTTTCGATTTACCTTCGTCTCGAACTTACAGTCCCGTTATATGAACTTCCAAATGTATTGAAGAATTATTTGCTCTCATTGTGCATCGGAGGGTAATGTTTAATTAGCAACAATTAAAGCAAGCGCCAGTTATACTCATAAAATGTAGAGGAGCATAAAATGTTTGTGACCCGTCGCCAGAAGACGGATCAACCGCGTATAATGAGGCAGAACAGTGTCGGATCCCTAGCTGAACTGAAACATATTTCACTCGGGCTACAAACTGTATCATAAGAGGTACATAAACAATGTTAACATTTATACAACATACAACCTAATCGTTATATACAAACGGTATGATAGGTGCAATGTACGTCTATCGTCACATAAGCTCCGCCCACTCATGTTTATTTATGATTAATGTGCACTTAAGACCATTGTAGGTTTTAGGGCACCACATACGTCGACCAAGTTACGTATTAAGGCATTGAGGTTATTTCTTAAGTAAAACCATAATTATTTTACAAAAATTGAAAGTTTTCTTAAAGTTCCTAGCTTATTGGTGTTAAATAGGATATTCATTTTGTACATATTTGGTCTAATCAATTCTTGTGAATATATTTTTCTCTTTCTAACTCTGATTTGGGACAGATAAATAAATACTGAGATTCGTCACCAGTATCATTTATCAAGGGTGCAATGTGCCGCATCTATGATTTGCACACCTAGAAATGTGGTTGAACTAAAGCTGATGCAATGTTCCATTTTGACACACTAACTCACTAAGCTTCACGGTCGACTACATGAACACGTTCCAACCAGACGCCAATTATTCGTTATTTGCAGCTACCCAGTACTGTGTTTGGAGAAGCATTGAATAATACGAGTAGCTTAACTCAAATGAGGCAGGCAGACAAAGGTTAACTGCGTTTACAGACAGGAACGACATAACCCTTTCGATTGTACAGTTCTGACCATATCATGAGTATTTGTTTGGTCGACGTCGCATTCAGCAGTTTTATAGCTGTACGACTGGACCAGACAATCCAGTAATTGACGCCATGCGATACGATGACAGAGCATGTGTAATGAATCACTATAAGAAAGTGATGGTACCAGGTTTTCGCGGAAATGGGAGTGTATCCCGCCTCAAGGACTAGTCAACTGTTCACTTGAACACAATCACGAACGTATGGTACAAGTCAAAATAGGGAATTGCATCGGACATCATTTTTGTCACCATGCATCAAATCTTGAAAAGTCTTCCACAAACAAATTTGGGAACTCAGGTCAGATGGTTCGCCAATCAGGAAGCAAACAAAATCAAACGTGGTTGTTACATAATATTGCACATATTTTCACGTTTTAAGAAAGTTAATTAATTTCCCTGAAAACTATTCGTTTTAATTAGGGTTTTTCATACCTGCTCTACCATTCTTGGACTGTTAGTTCTTCTCGTCAGTCGTAGGGAAGAAACATCACTATGTGCCAATTGTTGATGGTTAGCAAGCTACTGTAGTGAAGAATTGGTCTTCAGGAGTCCATGTTTCACTTGATTAATACATAACTTACTCCAACTGCGTAGATCGATACCTGTGATATCAGTCACGGGATTGTTTGGCTCAGATTCGGTTATTTACATGCCGCTGCCATATAGCTAGAATATTGCTGAGTGAAGCGTTGAACACAAACAAACAGCCGTGAAGGCCTGAGAAACCGTAGCAATCTATGTCCTGTAGCAATACAGTGTCTGACGGTTAATAGGTGTAGATAAAGAGATGTATGCCAAATACTCATACAGACTCATTGTAATATTAATTTACTGGTACATTTTATGATAATGTAAAATCGATCACATGAAATGAAAGTTAAGAAAAATGAAAATTACGCATTTAAAACGCCTTCTTCCCTATTTCAATAAAATGATTGTACTCAATATCTGTTTATCAATAACATTTAAAAACAGCGTTGTGGTATCTTGCTATATCGTCAGTTACTCGCTCTTGAGTTATCAGGTATCAGCTATCACCAGATAGAGGTTTGACAGAGGACATGTAAGCAATATGTGATGAGTCTTCAGAAAGCGTGCGTTATATCGCATACAGCTTCTCTGTTTAAAACAAACACTTATACAAACTACCTGGTATATTATAATGTAAAATGACAATTGTCAATACAGATTATCTTGTTTAATCGACCCGACCCGGACGCTTGACGCAT